AGTAGTTACGCAAGCACTTACAAACCTGTACATTTTTTCTCACTCTTTTGCGGCTTTGTTTACAATTATTAAACAGTTAATGAGCACCGAAGCACCAGGAGGCTGTTAACAACAGTTGATTGGCAAGTTTTCATGCTTGTAAACTGTTTAATAAATGTAACCAAAGCCGTCAAAGATTGAGGAAAGATGTACACGTTCGTAAGTACTTGGGTAACTGCTTCGGGAATCTGGGTAAAAAAAAAAGTAACCAAATTATTACCTCTGCATTGGCTCACCACGTGACCACGATATGAGGGGGGGGGGGAAAGAGTTGACAAGGACGGTAATTTGGGATATAAGAGGACAGAGTTCAAGGGTCGAGGGTAGTGCTTGGACGCAATGAACTCTTGAACCTTTTAACAAGTGGAGTTGTTGTGTCTTGATGGAAGCGGCTTGGTAAACAAGGTAAGGTCATATTAGGATAAAGCGCTAGGCCATTACCACACTATAACGCTTGGAAGAGATATAAAAATAAGGATTTGGGATAGGCCGGAGGGAAGGAATGGTGCCCAACCACTAGTCGGGAATTGAACGCGGACCTGCAAGAAGCGACCGGTCCAAGTGGTTGGGCGGCTTGAAGAATTCAATTAGGCTTTACTTCAGTGGGAGAGAATGCAATTCAGTCAGATTTAACGCCATTAAGAGTTTACAAGTAACATTAATTTTTGTAGTGGCCTATTATGCTATAAAAATAACTTTATATGTAAATCAAACAATACAACTATAGCTTGTCAAGACTGTTACTTGCTTGGTTATATTTGGGGTATAGTTCTTGAACACATTATGATCCACGGGTACCTTTTCTACCTACAGAATGGGTATGGGGTCTACCACCACCCACAGGATGGGTATGGGGTCCACCACCACCCACAGGATGGGTATGGGGTCCACCACCACCCACAGGATGGGTATTGGGTCCACCACCACCCACAGGATGGGTATGGGGTCCACCACCACCCACAGGATGGGTATGGGGTCCACCACCACCCACAGGATGGGTATGGGGTCCACCACCACCCACAGGATGGGTATGGGGTCTACCACCACTCACAGGATGGGTATGGGGCCACCACCACCCACAGGATGGGTATTGGGGGCCACCACCACCCACAGGATGGGTATGGGGGCCACCACCACCCACAGGATGGGTATGAGGCCACCACCACCACCCACAGGATGGGTATGGGGTCCACCACCACCCACAGGATGGGTATGGGACCACCACCACCACCCACAGGATGGGTATGGGGTCCACCACCACCCACAGGATGGGTATGGGGCCACCACCACCACCCACAGGATGGGTATGGGGTCCACCACCACCCACAGGATGGGTATGGGGTCCACCAACACCCACAGGATGGGTATGGGGTCTACCACCACCCACAGGATGGGTATGGGACCACCACCACCACCCACAGGATGGGTATGGGGCCACCACCACCAGGATGGATATGGGTCCACTACCACCCACAGGATGGGTATGGGGCCACCACCACCCACAGGATGGGTATTGGGGGCATAATATATGAACTACACTAGAACGTTAAAAGTATAACCCAGATCATTAGTCTTTCCGAACGTTGAGACCTTCACCCAAAACAGGTGATCAATCACCTAAGCTCTCTACACACACCTGGCTAGCCCACACACCGTGTCAACCTCTCACACATCTGTACTGTGTCAACAACAGTAGCCACTGTACCGCCACAACACTAGCCACTGTACCGCCACAACAGTAGCCACTGTACCACCACAACAGTAGCCACTGTACCACCACAACAGTAGCCACTGTACCGCCACAACAGTAGCCACTGTACCACCACAACAGTAGCCACTGTACCGCCACAACAGTAGCCACTGTACCACCACAACAGTAGCCACTGTACCACCACAACAGTAGCCACTGTACCACCACAACAGTAGCCACTGTACCACCACAACAGTAGCCACTGTACCACCACAACAGTAGCCACTGTACCACCACAACAGTAGCTACTGTACCACCACAACAGTAGCCACTGTACCACCACAGCAGTAGCCACTGTACCACCACAGCAGTAGCCACTGTACCACCACAACAGTAGCCACTGTACCGCCACAACAGTAGCCACTGTACCACCACAACAGTAGCCACTGTACCACCACAACAGTAGCCACTGTACCGCCACAACAGTAGCCACTGTACCACCACAACAGTAGCCACTGTACCACAACAGTAGCCACTGTACCACCACAACAGTAGCCACTGTACCACCACAACAGTAGCCACTGTACCACCACAACAGTAGCCACTGAATCACCACAACAGTAGCCACTGTACCACCACAACAGTAGCCACTGTAAACCACAACAGTAGCCACTGTATCACCACAACAGTAGCCACTGTACCACCACAACAGTAGCCACTGTACCACCACAACAGTAGCCACTGAATCACCACAACAGTAGCCACTGTACCACCACAACAGTAGCCACTGTAAACCACAACAGTAGCCACTGTATCACCACAACAGTAGCCACTGTACCACCACAACAGTAGCCACTGTACCACCACAACAGTAGCCACTGTACCACTACAACAGTAGCCACTGTACCACCACAACAGTAGCCACTGTACCACCACAACAGTAGCCACTGTACCACCACAGCAGTAGCCACTGTACCACCACAACAGTAGCCACTGTACCACTACAACAGTAGCCACTGTACCACCACAACAGTAGCCACTGTACCACCACAACAGTAGCCACTGTACCACCACAACAGTAGCCACTGTACCACTACAACAGTAGCCACTGTACCACCACAACAGTAGCCACTGTACCACCACAACAGTAGCCACTGTACCACCACAACACTAGCCGCTGTACCACTACAACAGTAGCCACTGTACCACCACAACAGTAGCCACTGTACCACCACAACAGTAGCCACTGTACCACCACAACAGTAGCCACTGTACCACCACAACAGTAGCCACTGTACCACCACAACAGTAGCCACTGTACCACCACAACAGTAGCCACTGTACCGCCACAACAGTAGCCACTGTACCACCACAACAGTAGCCACTGTACCACCACAACAGTAGCCACTGTACCACCACAACAGTAGCCACTGTACGACCACAACAGTAGCCACTGTACGACCACAACAGTAGCCACTGTACGACCACAACAGTAGCCACTGTACCACCACAACAGTAGCCACTGTACCACCACAACAGTAGCCACTGTACCACTACAACAGTAGCCACTGTACCACCACAACAGTAGCCACTGTACCACCACAACAGTAGCCACTGTACCACCACAACAGTAGCCACTGTACCACCACAACAGTAGCCACTGTACAGCGTGACATACGTTGATAAAGAGTGTGTTTTCCCCCATGGATAAGGAGGCCATTAGATCACAGCTGTGTGAACATGATTGACACTCATCAGACACCCCAAAAAATTATAATTTCGGTTACCATAAATTTCTTAATAAAGCAATTATAAGTCAAAAGTATCTTGAATATATATATATATATATATAGCTTTTATAGTGTTCCGCGTTTGATTTTTGAAATATACAACTAATGACGTTGTGGTACTTTGGGCCTACATTTGACTCTCTTTTGGGTCTAAATTTCTCTTGTTGGTACTTCACCATCAAGCTTTTTAATATCTTATTTCTAAACTTAAATTAAAAAATTTTCTTCCGTTAGTAAAGTGGCTGCCGCCCTGAGACCACGATATACCAGTTCTTATCTATTTCCGTCCACATAGTTGGGAGACTTTATAAAAATACACAAATACTGTAATATATTCCTCTGTATTTGTTACAAATCAATTAATATACTTTCTAGCATAAGTACATTGTCTGCTACATATTACTGTTTTTATCCAAATTAGTTTGTATTAATTAAATCCTCCTATCTTGACTCTATCCTCGTATGTGAGAGATAAGATTTGAATTTACTTTTCTACTCGATTGAATCTACTTTCCTCCCCCCTTATCTACTAGTCTTTCAAATTGGCTTACTGTATTTACCAGGAAGAGGAAGATTAAAGGTCTATGAACTATTGCCTCTTAATAGGATACATAAAATAATACAGAAACAATCCAATTACTCTATACAGAACATTTAATATCAGGAAACAAGCAAAACTGAATCTATATATAAAAAAAAAAATCCAACTTAAATAGTTCTGTTAAATAAGTGTTAAATGAAACTGAAATGAAATGAAAATTGTAGGGAAATCTGCCATTAAGTTTAGAATTATGAAAACGTACACCAGATATGCATAAGCTAGGATCCACACAGACTAGGCCCCACACAGGCTAGGCCCCACATAGGCTAGGCCCCACATAGGCTAAGATCCACATAGGCTAGGCCCCACATAGGCTAAGATCCACATAGGTTAGGCCCCACATAGGCTAAAATCCACATAGGCTAAGATCTACATAGCTAAGATCCACAAACATAATACAATACTTGATACTTTACATAACACAACCTCCAACTGTTCTTTAGAAACTGAGAAATTCCCATCTTCATTTAAGAGAAAATACCAACGATAGTATCTTTTCCTCTCTCCAAATTGTATATGACATCTGTATGAGATATAATTCACCTCTTGAATGACCATATATAAGATAATCTAACACAGTTAACTCAGTACTTCTACTTAAACTGTAGGTAAGGGATGTGCAGAATACCCCCGTTAAAAAGCGGAGGTGCATCAGGTACTCTGAGAGAGAATTCTATCAACATCAGAGGCCCGAGACTGTTCAACTCGCTTCCGCTACACATAAGGGGCATAACTGGCAATCCCCTCACAGTGTTCAAGAGAGAACTGGATAAGCACCTCCAAAGGATACCTGATCAACCAGGCTGTGACTCATATGTCAGGCTGCGAGCAGCCGCGTCCAACAGCCTGGTTGATCAGTCCAGCAACCAGGAGGCCTGGTAGACGACCGGGCCGCGGGGACGCTAAGCCCCGGAAGCACCTCAAGGTAACCTCAAAGTAAGGTAAGGGTAATTATGAGAAAGCAGTATGGCTACATAGCACTTGGTAGGGAGATGGGAACAAGGAGCTGGAATAAAACGGGATGAAAGAATAGTGCCCGACCATTTGGACCATCGGGAATCGAGCGCCGATCTGCAGAAAGCGAGGTTATTGCTGTACCGACCAGTCCAGGTGGTTGGATTGTTCAAACTGTAGTCTTTCTTGACTTTACTAAGCATCTGCAGTCAGCTTCCAGTATTTTGGGGTGTTCCAAGCAGTTCATCTTTGTCACTGAACCTGATTTTTCGTCCACCTTGGTTCTTCCAGTGAGAGTATCTGTTGGGAGTAGCAAAATCCTTTTGTGCCTGTGGTTTTGCATATTCATTACCCCGACTATCAGATGAGTTTTGGTGATAATTCCTTGATGATTCTGTGTTGGGTTCTCTGGACCTATAGTTGCTATGATGATAAGAACGAGACTGGTGGCCGTAAGATGAATGTGAGCTGCTGCTGTATGGTGTCCGAGGAATATTTCCTTGTCGCCTTTGGTTTCGATAGTCATATCTCTGATACGGCTGTCTGGAAGACTCTGGTGTCTGCTCTTCCTGGTAATCTTGCACGTGAACTACGGTAGTCTTTTTAAACTTGAAATGAAGCTTTCCTGTGTTTCCCTCCGTATTTCTTTCAGAGCTCGATTCACTTCCTGAATACTGAAATGTGGATGGCCGAGACGTGTCTTCCTCGGCGTGTGAGACAGACATGGAAGCCCATCCAGGTGCAAAAGCAAAGGCATCGTCCGACAAGGTAGACTGCTCGGGGACACCTTGACGTCCCTCAGGGTTGTTGTCTGGTGGTAGCATCTCAGATGCAGGCAAGCCTTTTGAACTGTTTTCATTTACACTTTCTTGAGGGTTAGATAGTGTTGGCTCCTTGACACGCGCTGCTGGTGATGACAAATCAAAGACGGATTGTGAGCTTGCTGTGGCTGAAGATGACTTCAGACAGGGAACACTACTCACTTCAGTAGGGACGGTTGAAGTTTCCACCGATGCTGAAGATGCTTCTGTGTCTCTTGCATGTTCTTCATGAACGGGAGATTCATTACCAGATTCTTCATCAGAGTCTTTTCTGATTATATTAACACACATAAAGTGACCAAGGAGATGTAGTGGCAGATTTGAACGAGACTCCACCTGAAATATAATAATACATTAAAAAATTATACAATAATACAATGAAATCACAACAACCTGATGTATCTATGAGAACATCTAGAGATCATATGATGGAATCAAACCTGCGTCTCTAGATTCCCCAGTTTGTCGGTGGTGCATGTGCCTTGAGGGAGAGTCCAGGGGACGCGAGTTCGATCCCATCGTATGGACTCGATCATTTTTCATACCATAAATAAAACAAGTTTGCCTGCCTACTGTTACTATATTTCCTTCCCCTCTACCACACTGTAACTAAACTTAGGCTATAAACAAGAGATCTAAAGTTACAACACCATGAAGACTTGTATTCAGTCATTGTATTGTATTTTGCTGTATCTCGTTTTTTCGTATCTTTAGCTCATCAGCAATATTCAGAATCCAGTTTGTTGATACCAATTATGGTAGCCATATTGTACTTAAGAATAATGGGCATGGGTGCATATTTAAAATTATAATTTTTTAGACTTTAATTAATCATTTGCCCCACTGTTCCTAGCAGGATGTTATTGTAATTACTTTAAATCATTAGTTTCCTAGGATGTACTCGAAGTGTACATCCTAGGAGCCTTAAGTGCAGTGTCTTGTGCATGTTGACTAGACCACACATTAGAAAGTGAAGAGACGACGACGTTTCGGTCCGTCCTGGACCATTCTCAACTCGATTGATAATGGCCGAAAGAATTGAATAAGTCGATTGAATAAGACCGAAAAGTCGATTGAAAGTCGATGGAATAAGACCGAAACGTCGTCGTATCTTCACTTTCTAGTGTGTAGGTTGGTCAACATTTTTCAGCCACGTTATTGTGACTCCTCATCTGTCTTGTGCATGCTTGCTAGTGTACATGTACGTACCTGCGGTTGGGGTGTTGGGGGTGGAGGGTTTCTGGTGAAGGTCCGAGGCGTAGAGGGAGTGGGCTCCCCTCGAGTAGGTCTGATTTCCACCCTCTTTTCTGACCTGGCACTGCTGACGTTCTTAGCTCGTGTTGTACCAGGCGCTGGCACCTTGGTGGCACTAGTCTCAACTGATTTAGGCCCTTCGGCACTTAGTGAGCTCCAGTCTAAGTCTTCCATTTGAGACCAGTCAACTTCTTGAGACTCTGCACTCTTGGAATTTCCTGCAGCAGACCAGCTGACATCCTGTGACACACCAGCACTATTTCCTGCAGCAGACCAGCTGACATCTTGTGACACACCAGCACTATTTCCTGCAGCAGACCAGCTGACATCCTGTGACACACCAGCACTATTTCCTGCAGCAGACCAGCTGACATCCTGTGACACACCAGCACTATTTCCTGCAGCAGACCAGCTGACATCCTGTGACACACCAGCACTATTTCCTGCAGCAGACCAGCTGACATCCTGTGACACACCAGCACTATTTCCTGCAGCAGACCAGCTGACATCTTGTGACACACCAGCACTATTTCCTGCAGCAGACCAGCTGACATCTTGTGACACACCAGCACTATTTCCTGCAGCAGACCAGCTGACATCCTGTGTCAACTCAGCACTTGCTTCAGCGTCGCTGGACCTAAAATTACCTGACGATCGGGCTTTAAATCTGTACTGATGTTGTCGCGGGCTAATAGTGGTATAGGGCTTCTGCTGGGGACGAGACCAAGGCTCTACAATTCCTGCAGGACGTGAGGGCGGAGGGTTCTCTCTCACCCTACAGATAGAAAATATCAATGCAAATATACAACTCAATAAGCAAGGTTATACAGGTTAGTCAAATATCATTCAATTTATAAGCAAGAACCATGTTGATACTACTCATTCCCAAGGGACGCTAGAGATGGTTTCTCTTAAGCAAAATGTCGAATAAATTGAATTCAGTCGAATACAGTCTATTTTGGAGAGACTTCACCACTTGAGAAGTGGTATATAACTATATGCAAGTCTAATTTGGTCTAATTTGGGTCTAATTTGAGTCTAATTTGGGATTGCAATATAAACTTTTGCCAGTGTCTGCCCTCAATCCTAACATAATCAGACCCTTACACCCCTTCCCCAATTACTAATGCCTGAAAATTATAGACAGGAACTATCAGCCATAGAATAGAACATGGCATCCCCTTGTTGACCAAACCACACACTAGAAGGTGAAGGGACGACGACGTTTCGGTCCGTCCTGGACCATTCTCAAGTCGATTGTCGACTTGAGAATGGCGTTTCGACGGACCGAAACGTCGTCGTCATCCCTTCACCTTCTAGTGTGTGGTCTGGTCAACATACTTCAGCCACGTTATTGTGACTCATCGCCTGCACACGGCATCCCCTTATTAATGGATATAAAGTATCGTCTTGGTCTCTCTCGGCCTGTACAGATAAGAGACCATGTTCTGTAATGGTCTCACGGCCTGTACAGATAAGAGACCATTTTCTGTAATGGTCTCACGGCCTGTACAGATAAGAGACCTTGGTCTCTCGGCCTGTACAGATAAGAGACCATGTTCTGTAATGGTCTTACGGCCTGTACAAATAAGAGACCATATACTGGAATGGTTTCACGGCCTGTATAGCTATAGCAGCTTAGACAACAACCAATTAAGTGCAAGCTCACCATAACAGCTTAGAGAGTTCCTGATGCTCCTTCTGCATAGCCTTGAGTGCAGACTCCAGGTACTCCCCTTCCTCCTTCCCACTCTCAATCTCCGAAGTCAACCTGGTTCAAGACGTATAAAAGCAACAAAAAACTTGAGCATTTGTGCAACCCATCCTCCAAATATTATAGAACCTGTAACTATAATAGATGACATGTACAAAATATTAACGATTTTACCACAACAAAAGTACTATTGAAATTGTACTTTTGTACTATTGTATTGGAATTCTAAGGGGGTACAAAAAAAGTAAAAGAACAACCATAAACCTAACCTGTCCTAGATCTAAATAAGTAATTCAGAGCCTAATGCACACAAACTGAGACCCTAATTTAGTACCAAAGGAGGCAGGTTCACTGAACAGTATAATCGAGGGCACAGCTGAATTAAAAGTGGAGTTGATTTCAAAATAGATCAAGCTAAAATTCATCGAAAACATCAACAAAAGCATAATAAATTCATACGTAAGTATTTCACGTTTTACTAACCGCTTTATAGATGGCCTGTTAGGATCCAATAGACGATCCCTCTCATGGTGAGCCAACGCGAGCTGGTTCATGAGGTCTGACTTCATGGTACTCACACTCTTCTCTAGCTCATAAACGATTGTTTCTAGCTGCTGTGTCTTCTGTTGAAGGGATTCTTCCTCTCGTTTGTTGTCTTCCAGCACTTTTATTTCTGGAAATACGAAAATGTCATCGTTCTGAAAAATGGTTAAAAATGCTTCGACGAAGAAGGAAGACAGAGAACACATGCAATATGAGTTCTATCTGTTCACACTCCCTCCAATTCTACCATTACTATTATTTATTGTTATTATTTATATAAAATATATAATAATAATAATTATTCCTTGTCTCGGGGCCACAACAAGCTGATTAACTCCTGAGTACCTACTTACTGTTAGGTGAACAGATACATTAGGTGAAAGGAAATGTGCCCAACCATTTCTGTCCCGCCCGAGATTCAAACCCGGAATTTTTTATTGTGCGTCGAGAATGAACCCAACTGTGCTATCGGGACCCCGAGACCCCCCCCTTCTCGGTAGATTGTATGTATGTATGTATGTATGTATGTATGTATGTATGTATGTATGTATGTATGTATGTATGTATGTAATGTATGTATGTATGTATGTACGTAATGTATGTATGTATGTATGTATGTATGTATGTATGTATGTATGTATGTATGTATGTATGTAATGTATGTATGTATGTATGTATGTATGTATGTATGTATGTACGTAATGTATGTATGTATGTATGTATGTATGTATGTATGTATGTATGTATGTATGTATGTAATGTATGTATGTATGTATGTATGTATGTATGTATGTATGTATGTATGTATGTATGTATGTATATGTATGTATTCTCGCACAGCCACTAACACCCAATAGCCTAGACCTAATTCCAGCACGGTCAAACTCTTAGAACTCGAGTAAGAATCACTGACCACACAAAAGTTGTGTCTTCTCCAGCTCGAGTTGCTGCTGCTCCAGTTTGATGGCTTCCCTTCTAGCGGGGATATCCTTGTTATCCAGCCTCACCCGGGCATTGAACTTCATTGCTGCCTTCGCCAGCAAGTCTGTCTTCTCCTCCCGGCTTGCTTCCTCTGACTCCTGCAGTGATGTCAAGGATGAAATGTGAATAGAAGTGAGTGGTGTTGTGGGTAGGAAAATAAAAGCACTGTCGGCAGTAATAACAAACACCTCAACACAGAGTATACAGTGTATTTAGCTTTAGTCACATATACGCCTCACAAACATGTTGGTATAAATGCATAGAATAATTCTGCGAACGCCCCGCTCCTGTGCCAGGTAAGTCCACTACGGGCTCACGTAGTTCCAAGTAGCCCGTGCTACTTGGAACTTTTTGTTCCCAGTAGCTGAATCTATAACAACAACTGCGAACGCCTGAACACCCGCCAAGACGAAGGACTTCCTGGACTGGAGAGACACTTAAGTGTGTATGACTGGAACATGTTCCTGCCTTACCAATATAAAGGACACTTGGTATGACTGGAATATACGATTCCAGTCATACAAACTTCCTGTCTTAGCGAAACAAGGAACTTCCCGAACAGTTAGTATATACATGGTATATATTCAAGTTCTATGAAAAAAACTTCCTAGAAAGTTAATTGCTTAGTATAACTGAAATATCCTCCCATCCTATTAAAAAAAGACTTCTTTGAAAGTTCGTTATGCCTGGACTATGCTGCTCTGGAAAGTTCGTTATGCCTGGACTATGCTGCTCTGGAAAGTTCGTTATGCCTGGACTATGCTGCTCTGGAAAGTTCGTTATGCCTGGACTATGCTGGACCGGGAGCTATGCTGCTCCCGTCCTAAGAAAAAGAAGACAGCCTGGAAAGTTAGTTACTTTGAACGATTGGAATATGCTCCAGGCCTATGAGTGAAATAATAACGTTATTCAGGTCTCTCGTTCTTCAATATTACATTGTTTAATAAAAGATCACTTTAATTTGTTTACAAGTCAATTTCTGGAATGTGCATCAATGCATACATTGGAACATGTTCATCAATCAAGAGAATTTGATGAACAAATACAGTAAAAGCACTTATCTCGGCCAATGAACTACTTGTAAATAAACAAAATAATACCCCATAGCAATAAATAATATAATGCATGTAGCTTATTCAGGACTAATCACATTACACCTATGCTGACCGTAACTTTTTTTTAAGAGAGGATATAGAAGCCTGGCCCCAAAGCTCACCAAATTCTGGTATTCCAATTCTGCTTTCTCTTCGATCTGCTTTGCCTGGTCCTCCAGTTTGGCCTTGAGGAGGAGGTCAGAGTTGAGCTGCGTCTCCAGCGTCAGCAGTTGGAATCTACACACTTGTTGCTGCTCCTCCAGTTGGCTGATTTCCTTCTCTATCTCGAGGACTTGCGACCGCTGATCTGCTGTCTGCTCCTGGACTGTAGATGACAATTGAGGACGCATTAGCACGGTACTATGGTGACAGTTGGCTGGTGGATAGCTGAGAAGGTGTGGAAATAGGGGAAGGGACAAGGAGGCTACACGATAACCGCATGATGTTGCTACAAAATTGTACAATGACAGGAGAGTGTGACAAGGAAGGAAAAAGGGTGACACAAGGATGGGATAATATGGAGTGTGAGGGGATGACACAGGGTGATGGAAAGATACAGAGTCGGGTGACATGGGGTGATGGGGTGGGTACAGATGATGTCACAAGATGGGTAATACAACATTATCATCTGAAACAATACACAAGACCGTGGCCACAACACTAAATCTAAACATTAAAAAAAAAAACATGGCGTTTAAGCTCACCATTACCAACTACACGATAGACTACACAATAGACAGAAGACGTTCCCTTTTTCATGTAAATATTTAAGGTTTATCTTATTAATATAGTATGTGAATTACAAACAACCCAGCAAACCTAAATAAACACCTAGGAGGGGGGGGGGGGGGTGTAAATCGAGATAAGCCTAACATATACTGTAGGAATAAACTGGGTGTCTGATCCCCTGACACAATGAATTATAATAGAATACTCATACATTCATAGCCTAGAATACTGAAATACAATCACAGAATACAATGTTCTAATAAAATCAGTCTAGCATACTGAAATACAATCATATAATAGAAAATACTAATACAATCACAGCCTAGAATTGACTGAATACAATGATACATTACAATCCTGTATTGCAATCATACACTAAGCTAATATACTACAATCATACACAAGAATACTGTATACAGTGCAGTAATTCAGTAATTATGTACAGCTTGATAATTACATTTTAGTAGAATTTTTGCACAGTAGGCTTTGCCTGCTATAGATAATTTAATTCAGATAGGCCTATGTTGCAAAACTATACACAAACTAATTTTAACACGACATAAACCATACTGTGATGTGTATTATTCAATAGGAAACGCGTCTTGCTTGAAAAGCTCACAAATCCATATCAAATTCACAGATTAAATGAGGTTCTGCATTCGTTCCTCTGCCTGCATATTGTAATTAATATTATTGGGTCTTCTTAATATAATCTTATACATAATTTACAGCTTGGCGTGAAACTGTAACCCAAAAAAGGCTGTTAAAATTCATATATATAAAAAAGATACTTTATTATTTATTAAAAAAGCCTCATATAATGTCTACGTGATGCCTTTGAGCTGATCAAATGTATAGTATTTATGGGGGTATTTTCTCTATATGATTTTTGACCAAGATTATGTATGTAAACCTGTCTATAGCCCAAAACTACCACACACACACACGCCAGAGAAATATATGTATTCAGAATTAGAGTTCCGAAGCCATATGCGAGTACCATTACCTTCATTTATCCTGCGGTTCTTCTGTAGCAGGTAGTCCTCGGACCGGCGAATGGCCTCGAGGATGACATCGAGTTTGGTCCCCAATTCGGCCATGGTGTGTGTGGGGGAAGGGGTTAATTTGGCGTAGTTCCTGCTGTAGTTTCACGTGTTCCTCCGGCCGGAGCGTCTCTCCCTTCGTCTGAGTCGCCGGCAGGAGGAAGGAGACGTCGTGCTGCCGCGTGGCAAGTTGTTGTACTCTAAATCTTTCTCTCGATGGCTTTTTTTTTTTGGGGGGGGGGGATTTTGTCATGGAGGGCACGTTTATTGGGCATCGTCAGTCATACTGTGAGTGATGTATATAGCATTGTAGCCTTTTCAATAATCCCCAAATGGAAAACAATCTCCCTTGGGTTGTTTGACAAGAAATTTATTTTTGTAAACACATACACATGTATGTGTATACATACACTTTCTTCCTCATTAACCCCTCAAACCCAACAGCTGATATATCCCTTCAGACTCGCCCTTCCCTTACTCTCATTGAAGCAGTCAATTTAATTCTTCTTCTCCCCCCTCCAAACCCCAACTAACAACACGCCCCACCCCTTTCTCCTGTCCTCCTCAACAAACACTATACCCTCTTTCCTAACTTCCAGTATTCCTCACCCCACTAACTCACAACCCCTCACCATAATGGCACCACGCCTCCTTCCTCACCCTTCTCTCTCTCTCTCTCTCTCTCTCTCTCTCTCTCTCTCTCTCTCTCTCTCTCTCTCTCTCTCTCTCTCTCTCTCTCTCTCTCTCTCTCTCTCTCTCTCTCTCGTAAAAATGATAGAGAGGTACAGATACAATGCAAGATCTTGCACTGTGAGGTGGTTAATGATGTCCTCTCTCTCACCATGAGCTTGCAGGTATGTTAAGATTTGGATGATTGGTTGGTAGTTTTCTGCTGAGCTGTTTCTGTCTTAGTGGAAAACGGGAGGTTTTAAGAGATACGACTACACTAGTTCTGTTTTTTGTTGTAGTTACTGAATCTTCTTACTATTCCTAAAGCTGGTTTTACTCTATTTATGGCTATTTTGATTCCTATTGTGTTTGCTTTGAGACCCCATATTCTGCCTATATTGTTAGATTGGGCGGTTAGTTGTCAAGGGTTATGGTGTAACGACCTTCTTTACCTCTGAATTACTTTACTGTTACTGCTTCAGTTATTAGCCAAGGGAAATAAGATGATTTTGTATTCCTTTATTATATACAATTAAGGGAAGAGAACATAGATATATATTACTTTCTAGCCTTTCGTTATTTAGTATACTTAAGGGTACGGCTGTCACGACAAGGAAGCTATAATTAAATAAAGTGCTTGGAGTGTGATGTCAGGATTCTGGAACTCACACTAGTACGTGGAGTGTGATGTCAGGGTTCTGGAACTCACACTAGTACGTGGAGTGTGATGTCAGGGTTCTGGAACTCACACTAGTACGTGGAGTGTGATGTCAGGGTTCTGGAACTCACACTAGTACGTGGATTGTGATGTCAGGGTTCTGGAACTCACACTAGTACGTGGAGTGTGATGTCAGGGTTCTGGAACTCTCACTGGTACGTGGACAGAGTTCTAAAACTGTACCTGGTGCGTGGATAGAATTCACGAACTGGTGCATGGAGTGTCCGGTCAATGCACTCAATGGTACGTGATTAGCGCTTACGATTAGCGCGTGTTCAGTTTGCTTGAACTTTAGCAGGTGTGTGTCTGGTCAGGGTTCTGGTACTCTCACTAGCAGGTGTGTGTGTGTGTCTGGTCAGGGTTCTGGTACTCTCACTTATATGAATCTATTTTTTTTCCTGTTGCCAAGGTAGATTGAAGAAAATGGGTTTCTTATTTTAGGTCCCTGTAATTACTTATATTTACGTAGATTTAGTCGTCCTCGGAGAATATCCAAAGATATATTTATTTTTTGTGAAATGTTTTTTGTGTTAATAGTCAATGGCTGAGTTTGTATAGGGGTAAATTATGGCTCCAGAGAAATGAGTACCTTGGTAAACTTATGTTTTGTATGGAGGAAATGTTTAAGATGATTTAAAATGATGATTATTATTTACCTGAGCACCACTATTTCACTATATAGCGGCCTCGACGACGACAAGAAGCCGGCGTCTTGTCAATGGTAGCTAAGTTCACCTATAAGATAAACTAAAAGAATATGCAGTTAGCAGAGAAAGCAGAGATACTGTTACGCTAGATTGTTAAATTGTTTAGGAATTGCTTGTGGTAGTCCCCGTGGCTTAGTGGTAAGACACTCGCCTGGCGTTTCGCGAGCGATTTGGCCTGGGTTCATATCCTGGCTGGGGAGGATTGACTGGGCGCCAATCCTTTGGAGTGTTGGATTTTTAGGTTCTAATTCCAATACAGTTGGAAAAGATCATCAAAGCAAATGGGGGGTTCATCGACAAGCCGCCGGCTTCCTGTCCTCTTCGAGGCCACTAATGTTAGTAGCTTTCAGGTAAACTCAGGTATGTTGAATTCATGTGACATTCATATATATGTTAATATATAAGAATGTGTAATACTTTTGAACTTATCTTATTAACTCATAATCCATTAGAAAATTAAACCTATAACTAGTAGAATAGTAGATAAAGCATATTGGAGTATATCTCCAATATAGTATATATTATTATATCTTCAAGGATATATGTAAATGTGTATTCACCAAGTTGTGCTTGCGGGGTTGAGCTCTGCTTTTTCACGGGTATGTGATCGCCTCTCAACTGTCAATCAATCAACTGTTACTAACTACTAACTAATTTTTTTTCACTTATACACACACACCCAGGAAGCAGCCCGAAACAGCTGTCCCCCAGGTTCCTTTTTACTGCTAGGTAACAGGTGCATCAGGGTGATAGAAACTCTGCCCATTTGTCCCTGCCGGCGCCGGGAATCGAACCCGGGCCACAGGATTACGAGTCCCGCGCGCTGTCCACTCAGCTACCAGACCCCTAACATGTGTATATGTTAGATAATGAATTCTTGCTACGTGTCATATATAAATATATATATATATGTACATATACCCCCAGATACTGTATATTAAAATAAAAACACCTTAAATTAATTAGAAGACCTAAACAAAGAATTTATTTAAACTTTTCAATTTAATGTCCAAAAAAATATTATATAGTACGTTATTTTCCCCCCCGGATAGGTAAATATCGTATGCCAAAATTAATTTTTTATTATCGTACATCAATCCCTTCCAACACACACACACACATTTTTGGGAGAATTAACTGATCTATTCCTTAAATAATATCCATAAAATATATACCATTTCCAGTCTTTGAGACAGTAAATATCCCCTTTGGCTTAGCGGCGTTAATGAGCCAGTATAAGGCGAGACACAGAGCCCGGAGGCTCTCAGACGCTCATTTGGTCTCTCAAGACCTCGAGTGAGGTGGAATTCGCGATGGCTGGCATGAAATTTGAGTATGACGAGTCTGGCTCCACTTTCTTCTACTTCCTCACCAGTTTCTTGGGCCTGGCATTGCTGCCGTGTACGTTTTACTTCTGGCCGGCTGTCGAGGGTGAAGGTAAGGCGGTTTGTTTCACGGGTTTTGAGGTTGGGATTTTTTTGGGGGGACGGGGTCTTGGGGTGGTGGGGTTGTTGTTAGGGGGGTTTTGGGGGGGATTGGATGGGGGTTAGGGGTGTGTTGGGGGTATTTAGGGGTGTGGGGAAGGTGTAGGGGGCGTGTGACAGGGTGTAAAGGGGGTGTAACAGGACTCCCGGTAGCCAGGTGTAGAACACCAGCTGCTGTCAGTACTGGTGGATCACGCCCCCTCTCTTCCCCCCCCTCTTACGTCTACTTCTACTTCCGTCTACTTCTACTTCCGTCTTCTACTTCTACCTTCGTCTCTACTTCCGTGTCTACCTCCCCCTCTTCTCTCTTTCATTCTTAACCCTCGCTGTAGCTCTAAATCTTTCTTTATCTCGTTATCTTGTCTACTCCTTATTCTTATATCCCTTATTTCTACTCTAATCATTCCTATTTGCATTCATATACGAGATTCTGCTCTGTCTTTACCATGTATTACTTGGTCTTCTTTCTGTGCTTAATTAGTAGTTTAATAAAAATACTATTGGAAGTGTAACTGTCATTGTCATATTGGGTAGTCATGTTCAGAACAGATGATGATGCTTCTCATTCATATTTGTCATTGTAGTTCAGTGCAATGCATGTGCCGACACTGCCTATGCGAGTGGTGTGCAGAGACAGCATTCGTCACGTCTGTACGTGTCCACTTAAGGAGACCTGTCCATCTCTCTTCGATCAGGGCCGTTTCAGTCTGTATTTATTAAACAACTTACGAGCTTGGACGCTTCACAACCCAGGGTTATGGTTGTTATAGACAACCTCATAGCACTTTTGGAGTTCGTAAACTGTTTAATAAATGTAAACACAGCTGCCAAGCTCGAGGAAAAACGTTCAGGTTTAGTAAGTTGGGGCGTAAATGCCCTGGCCGAGGACACTTGGCCCAGCTAGCCAGGCCCACTGTTCAGTATTTATTAATATAAAATAAACAGGCTGGGCTTGGGGGGGCGTAAAAGAACTCCCGAAACCCTCTGCAGGTATGCTCCAGGTATACCTCCACCAGTCATTCATCACACACCCAAAACACCACAGGTAGCAATTGCCATGTTGCTCATATGCTGTTACATTTGAACCAAGAAAACTGCTTATCTCACCTAGCCTGATGGAACTTATTATTTAGGTTAGGTTCTAGCAACTTTTTATGAAAATGAGCGTAGGAAACATTTCCCTCTTCCATCTTAGGTTTTTTTTAAATACTGTATGGTAAGAAATACCTATGAATGATAAGATTACAAGAGGGGTGATAAGTAGTCCCTGTGGCGCAGTGGTAAGACACTCGCCCGCCGCTTTGTGAGCGCTTTGGTCTGGTTTCTGGCCAGGATACGAAGCTGTAGCTGCTGTTCACCCAGCAGTGAATGGGTACCTTGTTAAATGATTTGGCAGGTCGCATTCCGGGGAAAATTAGGATTATGGACCTGCCCAAAATGCTATGCATGCTAGTGGCTGTACAAGAATGTAAGAACTCTTATATATATAAATAAATAAAAAATAAGAATGTGATGTATATATGAGTAAATATTCAAGCTGTATACAATACAATACAATACAATTTTATTTAGGTAAGGTACATACATACAATAAATTTTTACAAGGATTGGTTGACTTATAGGTAGAGCTAGTACATACAATGCCTAAAGCCACTATAACGCAAAGCGTTTCGGGCATGATGGGATTGAACCCAATTCAGTGTGTATGAGGTATTTATGGATGTGGATTAGATCTCGTTGTATGCCTTCAATATTTTCTCAATGCCTGTGATATCTGTTTTGAAAAGTCCAGCAATAAGTACCTGTATGTTCCTTGAAATAGAACATTGTCAATCTATTGGTATGTAAAAATTTGATTTCTTTTAAGATTGATTCATCTCTAGTGTTCTGAGATGAGCATGATTTAGGCATCCTTTATGACAACAGGAGCAGTTAGGCAAGAAAAAAGCTATTGATTCCTATAACATTAATTTTAAGGGGATTAAAATTAGGCAAATAAGTTATTTTTTGCCACCTCTCCTTTCACCTCAGTTTCTCCTCTTGCTTTATATTGATTGTCTCCCTTCTTCCTTGATACGATTCGATATAGGTCCAGGATGGACCCAACATTGTCACTTCAGTTTCTTTTGGTGTGTGTGAGGTGGATTATTAATGCTTAAAGTTTTAATTTTATGCAGTGGGTTTTTACATATAGTACAGTATTTCCAACTCCTTTTCTTTCTGCTGCAGAAGAGCAAGAAAAAGATCGATGCGAGGTATTCCAAAGAAAGCTCTCTAGGCTTAAGAAGCCCGAAAAATGGAAAGGGCTTCGCAAAACTACTCAGTAAGTACTGTAGCCTAAATTGTACAACATTTGGGGGGGGGGTGTCATTGGTTAGTTGGTTAGCCTGAAGCAAACACAGGATGACTATATTGTGTTTATAACTTCATTACAATAGAGGATTGTACAATATTTGCATTGTACTGTATGTGTAAGCACAGAAAAGAGCCTTAATTTTTATTTAGTGAATGAGGTGTTTTTTAATAATAATTCATTCACCTGGCCTCTTGGAGACTCGAACCTCCCAGGTGAATGAAATGTTTATTTCCATGGAAGTGTGGATGACAATTAATAATAATAATTGTTAATAATAGTATATTTAATATATATATGTATTCAGTGGCTATATTACATTGAAAATATACATTGTTCAAAATTGTAATATTTTTTATAAGGCTACTCATCACGCATGTTGTTATTAGGTACACCATTACCAATGCTGCGCCGACAAATCACTTTATGGTTATGTATCGGTTGTTGCATTCTCATTGTTATTTTATAATAGCCTATACAATCTAATTACTTACTATAATTCGGTTGCATGCTTTTAATGTATCTTTTGTTTTTTTGTTTTTCAGGCGTTTCTTAATCTTGGCGGGATGGGCACTGATGGCCATCCTCGTGTACAAGTTACAACAATTTGATTATGAATATGCAAATTTTGACCCTTACGATATCCTTGGGGTTGGCGTGGTTAGTTAATTTATTAAGCAACATGTACTGATAAAAGTGAACTCCTATGTTATCCAAACTTAGTGAGATTAGACCTGTAATGGAACATCTAGAGAGATTTGGATTAACCATAGATTTTTATTTGTTGCCGCTTTTGGCTAACAAACATATACAGTACTGTATATTTGATTAAATAAAATTCTAGATCATCTATAGGTACTGTATATGTGAAATGAAATGGGAATGACATTTCAGTCCATCCCAACCATTAGCAAGCTGAGACGTTGTTCATTTTCATGTGTGTGGGGTTGGGTTATTTGTTTTAACCAATTATTGTGGTTGTATACTGTATTTTGGAACCAAAATGACATGAAAAGGACAATTATTAGACGTCACAAAGGTATATAGATACACCTAATTGACATAAATGAAGTACAGATGGTCATAACGGGATTGGAGTTTGCTTGGATCATTTTAAGATTTGGAGTACTGGGAGTTCATTGTATTAAATTGCATATACTGTAGTACATATAAGTTGCATGCTGTATTTGAGTACTTTATTAATGTATATACATAAAGTAGACCTATTGAGGTTTAAAGTTATTTCTTGTTCTGTAATATGCAAGTAATTTAAACATTATATCACACAAAAATAATTTCTAATTATATATACAAAATATAAATACAGTACATATTATATACTCTAATCCTCTTTCTTAGGGAACATCTATTGCCGAGATCAAAAAAGCGTATAGAAAGCAGTCGCTCATATATCATCCAGATAAACCCACGGGCGATGAACGCAAGTTTATGAGGCTGAATAAAGGTAAACATTGTTCTTTGAAGTAGAGTCAGTTGTGACGTATTGATACCGTAGTCCTCTGCAAAAGGAACATAGGATTCACAAAATTCAAGTTGAATTGTTGTACATACAGTATAGTTTTTCTTTAGCTGCATAATCTAGTGTTGTTGTGCAGGAGAATCTTCCATTCTCTAGTATAAAATTATACTACTTTACAATATGTATTTTGTAAAACTTCAGCTTACATTAGCCCCGAATAAATCTTTTGTTATGCTTTGAATCATGTTGTACTTTGGGCTCTGCCAGTCTTTCATATCTAATCACACTGCTTTTTTGCACCTCCCTTCTTCGTGCATGTTAATGTTAATCCACCAGTCTTCTGTTCCTTCACTTCCCATTTTCTTTGCAGCTTACTTGGCGCTGACGGATGATGATGCCAGACGAAACTATGAGCGCTACGGTCACCCAGATGGCCCTGGAGCCATGCATTTTGGAATTGCTCTTCCTTCTTGGATTGTTGAGAAGGAAAATTCTTTATGGGTGCTTGGGCTGTATGGGCTTGTGTTCATGATCGCTCTACCTACAGTTGTTGCCATATGGTGGTACAGGTCTTCCAAGTTTTCTAATGATCAGGTATTGCTTTGCCATTGCGATTATGTTCTTGATGTGGTATTTGTCGATATGGAACAAGTGTTTAATTCGGTGCAGCAGTTTGATTTGTTCTTAATTTGTTGAAAACATGCAGAAGTAATTTTCAGGTTCTGCTTGACACAACGCAACTATATTACTACTTCTTCCATAAGACTCCACACATGGTGTTCAAGCGGGCACTGATGGTCCTTGCTGCGTCGCTTGAATTTGAGAAAGGACATAATCCCGAGATTGTCGTAAGTTATTGACCAGCTGGTAGTGTGCACCACTGCTGGGCGTCTTGGCCGTGGGTTACTTTTGGCGGTCGGCTTTTGTTGAGCATTATTAGTTTGAATTTGAGAACGTTTGTGTAATTACAGAACTGATTAGAATGATACAAATACAATCATCATAAAGGCCGTTGTTTCCTTTTTGAAATTACTTGTTTAAATAATGATTTAAGAAGTTATCTAAGCAGCACAGTTAGGTTTAACTTTCTATTATTGAGCTTCATGTGATTTAAATGTCATCATTAGCACTTAATTTGTACTTAAATGCCAATATAGGAATACCAATACTTTTTAATACTGGATATTTTTTTTTTTTTTGCCCTTTTTAATTTATTTCAACTTGCAGGAGCGTCCAACAGACAACATAGAACTGCCTCAGTTAATTAAACAGCTGCCAAATCTTGGTGAGAAGAACAAGGAACGTCCTCTGTGCTTTGCATACTCTATGAAGGCACGCTCTCTTCTGCACGCGCACCTTTCTCGTATGAAGCTACCAGATTTGACACTGGATCAGGATCGTTTGTATATTGTCAAGTCAGTATCTGGTTTATATTTGTGAGTGAAAGTTGGTCATCAGTGCCTATTAACTAGCATTCTTTGGGAGCTTCAAGTTTTAATTGTACAAATTAGCTGTTGATTTGTTTTACAGGTGATTGCAAGGTCTTAACATTAATGTTGATTTTGCGATGGCAATAGATCATGTGATGAATCTTCCAAGTTTGATTACATTAATAAGATCTATACCTAAGGTTCAGTACTTGGTATTCCTCAATGATGATGATAATAGTAATAATGATAATAATATTTTTGTCATACAATGGACTTAGCAAGTTAAAGTTGTTACAAAGTGGGTAAAGTGAATGTTTATTGTGTAAACCCACAAGATATGAACAGCATTTCGGTGTACAAAAGACAAATAACAGAAAAGTGTACTTTTTAAACAGAAATTTGTTTTTGCAGAGGAACATGACTAGTTGGGCATACACTTATGAGGTGGATTATTATTATTATCGAAGTTACAAGGAGTCTTGCTATTTTTTTTTTCTGCAGGTGTTGTCCCATATTAATTCAGGAGATGGTGACCTGCGTGTCGCAACTGATAATGTTGGCCCATGCTGGCCGCATCTCGCGCCTTCCATCTCTGGACACCATTGAGGCGTGTATGAAACTTTCCCCGCACATCGTGCAGGCGCTCTGGGACTCCAAGAACCCTCTTCTTCAGCTGCCCCATGTCACTGAAGACTCCCTTAGGTAAGGGAGTCTTGTAATTCAAAATTACAATTTTGAATTGTAGGCACAGATCAACCAAAGCAACAACAAACAAATACTAATAATTAGGGTTAAGGGTAAAACTGGGTTTTATTTGTTTAGGTGTTTGGCAGAATTGAAAATTAGATTTGAAAATTAGATTTGAAAATTAGATTTGAAAATTAGATTTGAAAATTAGATTTAAGAAGTACTGTATTGTCATATGAAGATAACACTAAAAATCTATATTTTTTTTGAGGTTCCTGGTGTATTTTCTGATTGCTTATGCCTCCAAAAGGACAGAAAAGTGCCTATATTCCCTTCAAACGTTGCGCTGAACTTTGTCTAAGACAGCTTAGGGTAGGTGTCGTGAAGGTGTCTGGAGGCTGCTGCCAAAACTTACAAAACAACGTGTCACAGCTCTAGATAAGGAGTCGGCAGCTTTTTTTTTTTGTGCCTTCAAGACATTTTCCAAAACCGTCTTAAGGTAAAGGTCGGATCAAAGTTTGCAGGACTAATAAGAATTGACTATACAGTACTGTACAGTACTTTGAAGGAGTAGACAATCTGAAACTTATCAATCTTGAGGTTATCTTGAGGTTATCTTGAGATGATTTCGGGGCTTTAGTGTCCCCGCGGCCCGGTCCTCGACCAGGCCTCCACCCCCAGGAAGTGACAGCTGACTAACTCCCAGGTACCTATTTACTGCTAGGTAACAGGGGCATTCAGGGTGAAAGAAACTTTGCCCATTTGTTTCTGCCTCGTGCGGGAATCGAACCCGCGCCACAGAATTACGAATCCTGCACGCTATCCACCAAGCCACGAGGCCCTTATTGCCCATGAACCAAAATTGTGCTACATTATGTAATACTTAGGAACATCTTCAATAAAGGTTTTAAATTTATACTGGTTTCGTTGACAGGCATTTTGTGAGCAAACGCCGACCGGTGAAGACCATTGACCAACTTTTAACTCTTTCTTCAACTGAGAGGCATCACGTTTTACGCTCTCTCTCGGAGGAAGAGTTCAGCGATGTTATGCTAGTTTGTAGGAAGATGCCAAAAGTTGAAATGAATGTCAATTATGAAGGTAAGATTACATAATGGAATGACTACTTTTGTCTTTAATCTTCACTGAATATTTATAATTAAATTTTAAGCCACGGGTAATGTAACTACTGTATTTTCAAGAATGTCTTTTAAATAATCTCCACTGACATCACATAGTCTCCGTACAGTCCACAGTCTGTTAACTCTAGGACTAAAGAATTTACACTTTAAACTAATCACTTAAATAGGATTGTTCATCCAAGTGCACTCATTTTGGGGTTATACTGTCTTATTGCAACTTCTTGGGTATAGCATTATTATTATAAGATCATTGTAGCATTAAGATAATGTAAAGATTACAGGACTATTTTTATGGCTGCTAATTGGATGTTGCTGTTACTGTACACAATAATATTTTATCTTATAATTTGCTTTGTTTAGCACTACAGTACTAAAAGTAATTATTGTAATACAGTACTGTACTGTATAATTCTTCATTTGAATACAACTGAGTGGCTGATGTAATAAACTGCTCAGTGCAATATTGTTTTGACAGTGGTCGATGATGATGACAGTGGTGTGTTTACGGCGGGAGCTATAGTGACCGTCACGGTGAATCTGCGGCGACGGGCACTTGGGGAGGTCTTTGAGCAGACCCTACACGATACCGAGCACAAGCCTGAAGGGCAGGAGAAAGATGAAGAAGCTCTTGCTGCAGCTGCTGCTGTAAGTGGTAGATGCATGAAATTGAAATAAGTTTATTGAGGTAAAATACACACAAAGGGATGAGGTAGCTCAAGCAATTCTCACCCCCGTTCAGTACATCGTGTTAATACATACATAGACACACATCACAAACAATAAACATATTACCAAACATTCTGAGAGATAAACATCTACATTTCCTCCTTTACACAAGTAGTATGGTAGGTAGATGCATTGTTCTTTGGGACATTTTAAGACAATGGTTTGTTTATCATTTTGTGTAAGCATGTTGTTTTCTTTGGTAGGTCAAGTTTGATGAATGCCTTCCCCTTTATGAAAGTAGGAAGTGGTATAATGGTGATGTAAAATGGAGGTATGGGTATGGTCTTTTACAGGTATGGTCTAACAAAAGTCGTGAATATTTTCTTTAGTATTTTGCCATCCATGTATTTAAAAGCAATTCTGAAGTTTGAAAGTGTAGCATAGGCCCCTTGCACGCTGTTCTTTATGTGGTCCTCGGGTGATAGTTTTCTATCTAGAACCACCCCTAGATGTCTTTCTTTATCAGAATTCTTTAAAGGTTTCTCACATAATTTATAGGTTGTGTGTAGTATATGTTCTCCTATTTCTCATTGTTCCTGTGTGTGTGTGTGTGTGTGTGTGTGTGTGTGTGTGTGTGTGTGTGTGTGTGTGTGTGTGTGTGTGTGAGAGAGAAAATCGAGTGCAGCAAATAAAAAGCATTTGGAATAACATGTATGATAATAGATTTAACATAGAGCAAAAATGTTGTTTAAAGATGTGGAGTTCAAAAAGTTGTTAAAATGTAAGATTGAAAAAGTTGTTGTTGATTGATTTAGTTTTGTTAGAAAACTGATGAGGATACTGGTAAAAATTACTCAATAGATGAGAGTACAGGAGAGAGAGACAGCGCCGTAAGTGTGTAAGGAATAAATCTTGCAACTGTGAAGCAAACATAAAGTAGGCACTGTGTTTTATGTCGAGATTTAATTTCACAATGTTCTCGACCACTTGGCCCGGATGGCGCAGCAACGATCTTGCTTCTTGCAGGTTGGCATTCTTGTATCTCGGCTCCTATCCCAGTTCCTCTCCTGTACCCCCATATCCCGGTTCCTATCCTGTCCCCCCATATCCCGGTTCCTATCCTGTCCCCCCATATCCCGGTTCCTATCCTGTCCCCCCATATCCCGGTTCCTATCCTGTCCCCCCATATCCCGGTTCCTATCCTGTCCCCCCATATCCCAATTCCTATCCTGTCCCCCCATATCCCGGTTCCTATCCTGTCCCCCCCATATCCCGGTTCCTCTCCTGTCCCCCCATATCCCGGTTCCTCTCCTGTCCCCCCATATCCCGGTTCCTATCCTGTCCCCATACAGCTCTTTATGTGCTGTATAGTCATATTGGCTTAGTGCTTTTTCCTGTTAATTATTATTATTATTCATAATGTTCGTATTAATTTTACAATGAATCTGTTGTTCAGGCCAAAAAATCTGGTTGGAAGAAGCCGCAACCTAAGAAGGGAGGGAAGTCCAAGTCCAAATCGCAGCCACAAAAGAAAAAGCAGCATCAGCAATCGACAAATAAAAAAGAAGACGAACATCTTGAGGAAAAGAAAGAGAGGAGTAAGAAAGTTAAAATTGGTCTGTTTCCCCCCTTATTTTTTCTGTTTCTATTTGGGTCTTGTGTGTTAAGTCATTTACAGTACTGAGGAAGGAGGGTTACTTCTTTTTTTTTTTTTTTTTTTTTTTGTTTTGAGTTTTGCTTATGCAGTTTGATGTGTATAGTAATGATAAAAAGCTCTATTGAAGAGCAAAATTTGTTCCTATCTGTGAATGCCATATTAAGTTTCATTTAAATGCTGCACTACCACTAAAACCGTCATGTTTTTCCAACTCTCTATGTTGTCATTTTCATTGATTGGTATTTCTGTCTTCATAAGTTTTCATTTTCTTTATTAGATTCTTGCTGGATCTAACAAGTATCCTATCTACCCATCAAAAAGAACACGAGATATCGTATTCAAATTTGTTTACGTTCAGTAAAGGCCTGGGCATATAAGGGTTCGGAAATAGGGTAAAAGATTTGCTGAACAAGTTATTGGATAATGTGATAAAACGTGGGCTGATAGGCCTTTAGCAGTTTCCTCGACTGTATTCTTATCCTTTGCTTTTTCCTGCTTTACCATCCCCCAACTTCCCTCTCTATTTCTGTTTTGCTTCCGTACTGCTTGATTTAAGCATAATAGCAAACACTAAGTTTTTCTCATTTAGATATTTTTCCCTTATCACTAAATAAATTTTTGTAATTAGCAAGTTTAGCAAAGTAACTTTTTGAGCTAATCAGAACTTTCCTTGAAGGGAATTTTGTTTACCTCGATGCTTTTAATTGCCAGACAGTAGTCAGAGCCAGTGACATATTCTCCTCCCACAAACCCCATGACTTGGTTCCCACTCACTAGGACTTTGTTTTCATTTGTGCTACACAAGCATGTAATGGGCATTTGAGTTGAAGATTTGCCATCATTTTGTCACATATGAAAGCAAACTGGCTACGATTTGTTATTCTTTTCTGGTATTGTTATATATCCTACAAAGAACAAAACTCAAGCTTAGGCCCTGTGAACTAAAATAGCTTCGTATTATACCAACAGCTGGATCACAACCGGAGCGTGTGGAGGTGGTTGACGAGAAAGCCGATCAGGATACAGATGAGGATGAATCTGCCTCACATTCAGATGAATCAGTTGCCGAAGAAGCGGATACTGAATCTCACAGAGAAGATAAGGCGAGTTTATGTTGATGTATCATAAATTTTGTAAAGTCCCAAATCATTGGATTGGAATTTCAGATAGTGCTCCTACAGCAAATACTGTTTGGTCAGGCCTTATGTGGAAGTGAGGTTCAAGCTCTAAACAATTTTTAAAATGGAAGGTGCTGAAATTGAAAAGGTTCTTTATAAAACAAATGTATGCAGCCACTCAGCCTTATATATGCTCTACCACAATAGAATAGTGTTTTGGGTGTTGCTTTTGTTAGACATTAAATTTTAAAAGTTTGTCCTAAGGTCAATACAGGTATTAGAATCCTACTGGCAATATATAAAATGTTCTTTTAAGACTGGGACACTTATCTTGACTATGGCAGCTCAATACAGGTACTGTATTAGAAGCCTTCCGGCACTATATAAAATGTTCTTTTAAGACCGGGGACACTTATATTGACTATGGCAGCTTAGTGTGCATTTATTGAACAGTTGATGAGCTCTAAAGCACTATGATGTTGTCTTTTAACAATGATAACCATGGATTATGATGTTTCAAAGCTTGTAAGTTGCTTATTAAATGCAGACAAAAGCTACCATTATTGAGGAAAGATGCATATGCTTTGTAACTGGATACGTAAATGACTTTTTTTTGTAAAACCAAAATCATATCATATTTGATAATTCAATTTTTATTTTTGCAGCATGCAAACAGTGTTGACGACGATGCAGAATGGGAGAAGTTTCAGAAAGGTCTGACAAAGAGGGAGAAGGCACTTGAAGGCAAATCTAGGATGTCTCACGCAGTGCATTGTCCCTACTTCCCCGACGACAAGCAAGAGTACTGGTGGACGTACGTTTGTGACCGCAAGAAGCACATGCTTATCACGGCACCTTATCAGGTGGGAGCCATAGAAAATTTTTATTTGCATGCTAGGACTGGGGGAACTTATCTTCATCATTGATCTTGGACCCGCAGCTGGCCAGGCCCCAGAAAACTTAGGCAGGTTCGGATGGTTTTATTGGCATGTAGGAGGAATAAATAAGGAACAGAAGCTGAAAGTACTGAAAGTTTTTAAAGAATTCAAGTTTGATGTTTGTGAGACGAGGGTAAAAGGCGATGATAAGGAGTGCTTGCCTAGTTGTGTTATAGGGAGTGAGATCCAACTCTTGGGTTCCTGCCTCATAGCTAATGCATCTAATGATTTTATACTCTTCTAAGTTTTAATATTCTTACTTGCATTAGGTGGAGTACTGGAAAAACAGGAGGTATAAATGTTGTTAGGTTCAATAGCTAGGGGATGAGGTGGGGTTCTTGAGCTGAAACTTGCTCTCTAGCCACAACTAGGTAAGCACTCCTAAATCTCCTTCAAGTTTGATGTCTGCAAGACGAAGATTAAAGGAGATTTAGGAGTGCTTACCTAGTTGTGGCTAGAGAGCAAGTTTCAGCTCAAGAACCCCACCTCATCCCCTAGCTATTGAACCTAACAACATTTATACCTCCTGTTTTTCCAGTACTCCACCTAATGCAAGTAAGAATACTAAAACTTATTAGAGTATAAATTCATTAGATGCATTAGCTATGAGGCAGGACTCAAAGAGCTGGATCTCACAACCTATAACACAACTAGGCAAGCACTCCTTATCATCGCCTTTTACCCTCGTCTCACAAACATCAAACTTGAATTCTTTAAAAACTTTCAGTACTTTCAGCTTCTGTTCCTCGTTTATTTCTCATACATGCCATATAAACCTGCCTTGGTTTTCAATGGCCTGAAAAAGGTTCAGAACTTCCAGATCCAAGGAGTGGAATAAAATTTTAATATATACAAGAGGTTATTGATGCCACATTATGACTATATATACTTTATTCTCCTTAGGTTTATCAGACAGTTGGTAGTGCCGTGATGGGTTCATGCTGATTTACCTGTATTTGGATTGAGCCCAAATTAGTACTGCATCCTGATTGGCCTTGGTTGAATGGGTAGAAGCCATTTGATGAGGTTATAGCCAGTGGAAGCTACAGTTACTTTTGACAAAAGTAACTGTAGCTTCCACTGGCTATAACCACATCAAATGGCTTCTACCCATTCAACCAAGGCCAATCAGGATGCAGTACTAATTTGGGCTGAATCCAAATACAGGTAAATCAGCCAGAACTCAAAACGGTTAATATTACCTTTCCTAATCTGCTTGCCACAGTGTTCAAGGGTAAAGGGACCCAGGAACAGTAACTGAAGGACTCCACAGACAGCATCAGTCCAAACACCTGGCTTAGTGATGTTGCAGTGTTGGTGGCATCTGTCGAGTCCACCAGATCCTGATGAATGCCTTGACCAGGTCGAGATGGTGGACCTGCTCAACCCATGGTGGAAGTCTTGAGTGTAGGTCTAGTAAGGTGCAGACGTAGGGTTTTCTCATGTGGAAGGGCGAGGCTCAGACTTGAATGCCTGGATGATGCCCACCTTCAGTTCATCAAACTCTACATGGGCTTCCACCAATCTCGGTGAGGCTGGGCAGTCCTGATTTGCCCCAAGGTTACGAGGCCGAGGACTGTCACATCTGTAAACTTATCCTGAAGTTCCCGTGTGGCTGGAGGCGAGGCCACGATGATATCGACTGGTACAAGGATGCTGGACAACCTGCAACAAAGAATTAAAATAATTAATGGAAGGATTATTGCCTGTTCACTAATAAATAGTCTTAAGCGACAATTCTGCAATTCACTGCCCCATTACGTGCTTGTGAAATGAAAAGTTTGAATAAGTAAAGGTCAATTGTGATCAAGATCAGTATGGTTGGAACCAAAGCATATAAAGATTAAGTTGTTACACCTGTGGCTGGAATGAACAGGAATACAGAACGTAAAACTTAAAATAAGGTTAATGGGTGCATAATGCACAATATAGTGGGTGAGGAAAGGTGTCCTGTGAATAAATGATGCACTTATATTTTTAAGTTACTTTTGTAGATTAAATGATTGTTTTGTATAAGACATACATGCAATTAGTAACTTCTTTAATATACAAAGCTCTAAATACAGGATGAAATTGTAAAGAAAGAATATTTCATTGTGCTTACTGAATAACGTGCAGCACAATAAAATGTGATAAAAACAGTGGGAGGAATTGCTGAAGATCTGTCATACAAACGTCAGTGGTGTGCAAAAGACTAAGATTGAGAGATGACTGGCAAGGCTGTATATCAGTCATTTTGAAGACTAAACCAATCCTGACACTAAGTTATCAAGCATGACTAATTAACAGTAAGCATAGTGTCTTCATAATTGACACTATTGCTAGCTATTGCATTGCACTCATTTATTACCTATACATTTTTCCTAGATGTTGCGGCAGATTATCTACATAAAGAATGGTTGAACGGCTCCTCTTAAGGGATGACTTACAGTAGTGACGGGTTTCTGTCGCACGCAAAATGATTTCTATAGAGAGGGGGGGGGGGGATGTCTGGTTAACGGTAGCTATCAACCGTTCTCATTTTGTTGCATTGATGTTGTGTGTGTGAAGGCACGGTAAATGGTTAAGGAGGGCTATGAGTATTAAAGCGTTAGTCTTGCAAATTAAATGTAAATTGGCAGTGCATGTTAAAAACAAATCCTAGGATTGGTTGGAGGCCATAAACGTAAATACAATAATTCTTTGTTTAAATTTAACTATTTCAGCAGTCATCAGCCAGGGTTTCCTAGCGACTACCCATTCAGTAATGCTATTGTTACTCACAAGCCAACATTCCTATTAGACAACAAAGTGTGGTACTAGAATTCTACATTACAAATAGAGGTCATGATATACCTCTTAGTCTCGCTCTTTGACACTAACAATGCCCCTCTAATTCTGCTGGTGGTCTTCCTACTAGGTACAGCAAGCACCCCACATGTTTGTTGGCACATTGCAGACCTGAGCTTCAAGTATTTGCTGCTTTGACTCGCATAAGTGTGCATTGCAACTTACTTTAAATTTGAAATGCCTGGAAGTAGGTTCTTATGCGCTCTCATGACCTTTTTTTTTTTCAGATAACGAACCTTGTGGATCACGAAGAGGTTCAGCTCAAGTTCACAGCGCCACAAAAGCCAGGTATATACACTTATCAGGTGTGCTTGCGTTCAGATTCATATTTAGGACTGGACCAAAGTCAGGACATCAAACTAGATGTGAAAGAGGCACGAGAGATTCCCACAGAACACCCACAGTGGCAAGAATGTTCAAGTGATGAGGAAGATGACGACGAGAATGACGTGGGCAAGGACGACGGAGAGGACTCCGAGTATACGACAGATGAGGAGGTCACTGATGAAAGTGATGAAGAATGATACATGTAAGAGGTGTGTAGATTTGTGGTCTGTTGAAAGCTCAAGGCCAAGTAATTTCATCCACTTTTGTCTTAAAAATCCCTCATGGATCATGTTAATATTTTGTGTTGGCTAAGCTACAGCATAGCTTCAATCTTTTAAGTTAAAACATGGTCAATATAAAGTGCGTGTTCAGGTTCACTTCATACACGAATACAATACCTTGTATTGTGGTGTTTGAGACACTATTCCTTTGATATTCTGGAATTCCTGTGCGTTAGTTGTCAGACTGGCTAGTCTTCTCGTAGAAGACCGAAAGCCGAAGCTTATATCGCCAATTCTATTTTTGAACAGTCCTCGACGTGTTCTGTAGAAAGGTGCCGCATTTTCACGTAAAGTTAGGAATTTTAACTAGGTGTACGTGGAACCAAGACTTTTTTGTAGCGAGAGTGGAAAGCGCTGCCAAGATCTGCCTCCACAACAGTGTGTGTGTACTTTCAAAGATGGTTTTTTATTGGTCCATTTCCAATAGCCCAGAGGTAGTATTTTTTAATTAGTATTATTCCTCGTCATAGAAAGGTTATTTTTCATTGGAATATTGGATTTAGGCTAGATACAATCTCAAATTTGTGATATATTTATACTGTACAAGTTTTCATATCATTAAAAAATTTGTATTGCTTGTTTTTGGAGGCATTTATTTTTTAGCCTAAAGATATGTAGTAATGTAGGAGCTTCCTAGTTCTTTTAAGAAGGTTTAGGAAGTACCTTTGTAATATCAGCTTGAAAACAAACAAAAATAGACGAACTAGAAGTGTTTAATAACATGCGCTATGCTACATATTTGTGATGGCTTTACGAAACAAGGCTGAAGGCGAGTCCCGTGTCAAATTCCGTAAATATTGATTTTTGCAGTTTTATTTATATACTATTTATATTTTCTATTTAGCATTGCAGTCATTCCATTGAATACCAAGGCTCTTTGGGGAAGGGGTAGGGGGGGAGGGAGGAATACTTTAGGATTCATGGTATTTGTCTTGATACAACATGAGATTATTATTATTATTGGGTAAGTGTATATTGCATGTTAGTCCCGGGGCAGTATGGTAGCCGCACGTTAGCCACATGCGGCTGTTGCTCGCGTGTCACGTTAGCGACGTGCGGCAGTTGCTTGCGTGTCGTGTTAGCCACGTGCGGCAGTTGCTTGCGTGTCACGTTAGCCACGTGCGGCAGTTGCTTGCGTGTCATGTTAGCCACGTGCGGCAGTTGCTTGCGTGTCACGTTAGCCACGTGCGGCAGTCGCTTGCGTGTCGTGTTAGTCACGTGCGGCAGTTGCTTGCGTGTCACGTTAGCCACGTGCGGCAGTTGCTTGCGTGTCACGTTAGCCACGTGCGGCAGTTGCTTGCGTGTCACGTTAGCCACGTGCGGCAGTTGCTTGCGTGTCACGTTAGCCACGTGCGGCAGTTGCTTGCGTGTCACGTTAGCCACGTGCGGCAGTTGCTTGCGTGTCACGTTAGCCACGTGCGGCAGTTGCTTGCGTGTCACGTTAGCCACGTGCGGCAGTTGCTTGCGTGTCACGTTAGCCACGTGCGGCAGTTGCTTGCGTGTCACGTTAGCCACGTGCGGCAGTTGCTTGCGTGTCACGTTAGCCACGTGCGGCAGTTGCTTGCGTGTCACGTTAGCCACGTGCGGCAGTTGCTCGCGTGTCACGTTAGCCACGTGCGGCAGTTGCTTGCGTGTCCTTGCACCGAAAAGAACCTTGGGGATTTGTACAGCTTGTTTGGCACTTACAGTTGCCAGCCAATTTTCACGAGAATGGTTACAGGTAGTACTACCGTATGTGCAAGTGGTCTGGCATGTAATTATAATATTTCCATGGGGTGCTGAAGACTTGCAAGGTTTGTTTTGTTTAACATTTGTGTTTTTTTTCAGCAATACTGTATTTGTTTCAATTTAATTTACTATTAAAACATTTGCAAAGTCTTGTCTTACATTTCAGTTTGATACATTTTTTATTGGAAAATGGGAGGGGGGAAAAATACAACTTTGGGAAATTACTATGTTTTGTTATTGTAAATTGTTTGAAGAAGTGTTTCTTATACAGCATTAGTTTTCTTTAAAATTGCCACAAATTTGCTATCTATTAATAAAAAAGTCATATTGACTTCAATATTTACTCCATTAAAAAGAAGCTATTTTTAGGCCAGAATGTATACCAACTTGACACCAAACCTGTGATACTGTATTTGCAAGAGTACAAGCGGCCCATCTTTTTGGCTACATTTGGGGCGAGTCTTTCAAGAAAATGCAAGATAATTCATATAAAGAAGTTTCATTACCACCACTTGTTAGTCATCTAATCCGTTCTCGCGATTTGATACCTTAAACAAAATCCAACCGTTTTGCTTAACTAGTAATGTGTGAATCCAAGCAACCCACTTAATCAAACCCGGCTCAGAGATACTCAGTATTACGGTTCTAATTTTTACTCGTCACATTTTTACAGATTGGTCGATTTTGTAGAAAAACAAGACTTGGCCTGTGCTCACGCTTAATGTGCTACCACAACCACTTGCAATAATGAAAAGTGGTGGTGATAACTAGCATCACCTCACAGTATTCAAAGTCGAGACGTGATTACAAAGTGAAAAAAAGGTTATCCTCATGACAATAGTGCCCATTAATTTCTTCATTTATGTAAAGTAAATTTGTTATTGAAATTGGCCAAAATGAGGCATCAACAAGATGCATGTTTTAAAGGTCTGGCAATTTTAAAATTTACAACCATTATACATATACTGTACTTTACAATAATTAAAAATAAATGGTTAAATATTCGTAATAATGCAATATTTGTCTTGGCATATACCGTCTAGAGCACTATAACAGTTGTGCACATGTGTAAGCATGCTTCAGTGTTTGTGTATGCACACAAATATATAAGGGATGCCCTATAAGGAATGAAAATTAATTCTTCAGGCACTTTATGCCAGCATCTATAAATCAAAGAGATGTAATGTAGCAAAAGGAGCAGATATTTGGTGGTGCAAACACAATCAGATTGATGTCCTATGTGCTTGCAACTGGGGGACCCAAGTTCAATCTCAGGACAAAAATGGTTGAGCGAGATGACTTTCATCTGATGCTTATATTCACCTTGCCGTAAAATGAGAACCCCGGGAACCTAGGCAATTGTGGATTGCGTCCTGGGGAGGGACAGTTATAGGCCGGGGGGGTTGGGGACGACCTCAATAAGCCTGAGTACAGACTTGCTGTTCCCGTCATTGGGTAGTGTTAGTCTGTACTTTGGTGGTTGTGGGAGAGGGGAGAATGGTGTTATTGCCCACTTTTATTTATTTATTTAATTATATACAAGAAGGTACATTAGGGGGTTAACAGAGAACATAGAAATTAAGTTGAATTTACATTCTTGTAAAGCCACTAGCACGTATAGCATTTCGGGCAAAAAACCACTCGAGACAATTACATGCACATCAGTAATGCAAGATTATGAATTATTTTTATTTTGACAATTCTTAATTTCTTCCAACGTCTTTTTATGCTGATGACAGGGATCTCTACAATTAAACTAGCAAAATTAAGCGAAACTGCTAAAATAACACATTTAAAAGTAATAAATAAGTTTCGTGCAAAGAAATATCGTATGAGAATTTGGATTTGTTCATCGTACGAGAAACATTATCTAAAATGAAAATATCGTACTGTAATAGTACTGGTTGTAGAGTTTTGCTTCATCTGTTCGTGATTTGATATTATAATTCACTGTCGGGGAACAGGTAGCCAGGGTGTATTCACACACATTTGGCTTTAATTGAGGCCGAATTACTGACCCCACCAGGATGCACCCCACAGCAAACTGACTAACTCCTGAGTACCTACGCACTGCTAGGGGAACAGAGGCATTAGGTCAGAGGAAATGGTGCTTGGGCAATGTATTAGCAAGGCTTCGGGAGTGAGTAAGTATTATTACGTGCACTGAACCTTTTTACACAGATGCTATGTTGAACAAAACATGGCATCTTACCATGACTCCAAAGAATTTTGCATCCTATTCGGTAATGGCAAAAGCTGCAGTCAAGGGTAATTTATTTAGCCATGAACGTTTGTGCTAAATAGTGAATTTTAAATGAACAGTAATATGGTCTTTGTAATGCAATGGTCACTGCAGTCAGATCACAATCAAAATGTCCTGCTTTGGGGATAAAACCCAGGACCAATGTCTGGGTACCATTTTTTCTCTCCATCCGACATGTCTGTTCACCTAGCAGTAAATAAGTCCCCGAGAGTTGGTCAATTGTGGCGAGGTTGCATCCTGGAGATGGTCAATAGTTAGACGAGAGGGATCTTGACAAGCCTCGATAGTCTTGCTGTCCCCAGACTCCAGGAAATCATTATGGTAACAGGCCACTTACAAAGTTCGGGCCAAGCATTCTTTTTGCACAAAGTACCGTATGTGCAATACAGTACTCTGCACGTGTCTTACAGTTACGGGTTGCCTTGTACTCTTGCAGTTACGGTAATATATACTATTAAATTAAAATGGCTCCTCAAGAGAAATAAAGCAATTTTAATAAACAATTGATAATACGAGATATTGTTGCATCATGCATGTGGTGCCATTGTTCTCAATTTAATTGTAATTTTTAAAAAATATGCCATTATAATAATAGTTTACTAAAGGTATTTACAAAGAAAAATATTGCAGAAGGCTACTATTGTTCTTAATTCTTCCTTTGGAAGCTTAACTGCTCACAATAATGTTCTTATATACCTCTAGACAAGATATCTGAAATTTGTCTGCGTTCTACGCGATTAACTGTTGGTTGTAACCGTTTTTGCTGCTGGTAATCAATGACATTTGTTTAGCTCCCAGTAATAAGGGGTTTTCAAAAAAAAACAAAAATATATACTGAATGGTATATGTGATTGTAGAGAATATTTTTTTACATAGATGAATACATTATATTTGACATCAAATAGCTTTGCAAATCTGCAAAATTTTTTAGTTTGTGTGGTCATTTGTCACCTTGCACTAGCTGGAGAATTTTCCACCTAATGCTTTCTTTTGGCAAGTAATTATCTAGGGAATTCCTGTTTTGGTCAATTTAGGTACGGTGTAGTTTGTCCACAAAATTGCATTGTATTCATTAGGATAACTTAACGCTGCACGAACTGTACGCTTGTTTTCTGTCTCATTTTTGATGAGTGTGAGGGGATGAATTTGTGTGTTGTGGATTGGATAAGGATTGGCTCATGGAAAAAACTCTGCCGTGAAAGTCACTGGAACATAACGGAGGATCTAACCAGCAGTCTGGGGGTAATCCCCAGATGTGCACCTTCCACCACAGACCACAACAACATGCTAGCATGTTGTGGTCCATGGGTTAAGGCGTGCGTTTGGAGTTACCCCCAAGAGATGCTGGTTCACTCCCAGTCCTACTCCAATGGCCTTCTCGGATATAATCGCATTGTGATTTCCTGTGAATGCGTGCGTGCGTGCATGTGTGCGCGAGCGTACGTGTGTGTGTGTACGTGCATGTGCGTGCTTCTAGTGGCCTGTGCTGACCTAGCACACCACTGCGATTCATGCACGATCCCACACCACATCACTTGAATCTTGTAAATTCCTCATCCAATTCTTGTTTTATACATGTTTTAATTTATATTTTTGTATATTGGTATCTGGTTAATGACAGGAGTGCTTGTATACATGTTTGTAATTTAACTAAAATTTGAACAGAAAATAGCACCATGGGAGGATATTGGGGGAATTTATGCAAGTTGAATATTCAAGTCAAACTGAAAAACTATTGGCCAATGGGTGATCTTGAATGCATCCTTTATCCACAGAAGTGACTTTCAGGTTTAATTTCTATGGTTTTGATTGAGAAAATTCCATAAATGCAACTTCCCTATGAGGGCTGCCTATATGTGTACAGTATATATACCGTATATTAAAATTTATTTGATTTATTCTTCAGTGTTCCTAATTATTTATGAAATCTGTCATTTATTAAATAACTAAATATTTTAAATACATGTAGCATAGTCAAATACATTTTTTGTAGTAACAATTGTATGCTTTTATGTATCTGAAGGCAACTAAACAGTTTGCTCAGGTGGTGAATATAGCCTTATTGATACAACTTTATAATAGTCCCGGACAGACTAAAATGTCATCACTTTATTTTCCAATGTGTGGGTTGGGTATCTAATTTTCGGCCATGTTATTGTGACTTGCCGTCGGCATAGCCTCTATTCTTTATGTATGTGCAAGCAAAGCAAGTTGTACTTCATTTAGTTTTGGCAGCCCTCTCACAAATCCTTTCCCATATATAGTGCAATAATTATAATCTCTCCAAATTACTACAGTAGTGTCTCAACAGATTGTTCAGGGACTTACTTTCCATAATAAATGGATTTGTTGATTTTTTTCTTTCCCTCCTCCCAACAATGTGATTTTACTAGCACAAAACATTGAATATTTTCATGCGTAGATAGCAAAATGAAAGGGGAGAAAACTTAATATAACGAAACTAAATTGTTTCACTTTTATTGGCACTGGAAGTCCAGGTCTTCCAGAAATTTCCTTGCTAATCCAGACCCCTATCGCTGTGGTCAGGGTATGACTGGATTGTAATTTTTTCCCACCATCTGAACTGGCTTTGAGCCAACATCTGTTGGAGAGACATACTGTATATTTGCAGTAACCTAAATACACTAATGTATTATATAAATCATATCAAAACCTGTATGAATTTTGTGAAGTATAAAAATGAATGCATGTTATTAAATTATCAATCTCTTGCTTGAGTTGCCCAACAGATTCAGTACTTTATTTATAACAACTTGTGTTATAAATGCAAGCGTGGAATAACGGGGTGGGACCCTAGACGAGCCTATCCCTGTCGAGGCTACTAAACTATGGTGGTGGTCCTCGTGAAAATTCAGGCAAATTAATTTGTGTAGGCTTGTCAGGTGAAAATGTAACATTTTTACTAGCTAAAGAATTTTTGCCATATTTGAAGATCTTACCGACTAGAAATGAGAATCTAATAATTATGATTTAGAAAAATGCAAATGTACAGGACTGTAAATGTCATGTGATCCATCAAAATCTCAACCATACCTGTATGGTTGAGGCTGTGAAGTATTTTATGGCAAATTTGATATCAAATTTTTATACTGCTTGATGGCTTCGAGTGTCTGAGTGCTTGGAATTTGAAATAAATGTGTCAAAATTTTAAGTGTTGTTCATTTCAGTTTTGGCTAAATTCTTGCCTTACTATGAATATTTATGTTCATCTTTTTCCTCTGTATACTGATGTCTTATTAAAAGGCAACACCCAACATTCTTGAATTTCTTTGCACAGGAGTGATTTATAATAATAATAATAATAATAATTTTTATTTAGGCAAAGGTACATACATAGAGATTTTACAAAGTTTGTTGGCTTTATAGATAAGAGCTAGTACATACAATGCCTAAAGCCACTATTACGCAAAGCGTTTCGGGCAGGATTCGGGCAAAGCGTTTCATTTAGTATTAAAGTGAGAAACTTGTCTGTACCATCACCACTGCTGCCACCCCAGTGGTGGTGGTGCAGCAACCTGTCCTCCCAAATAGTACATTGCATTTTTGATATATACATCTCTAAACGAATTGTGGGATTCAGTCCCTGAGCCCATTATGTGCCTCTGTAACCCTTTCCACTACCGCCCACAAGATGGGTATGGAGGGTGCGTAATAAATAGACTAAACTAACATCTCCAACGACCAAAATATGATGTCCTATAAAAAATGACAAGCCATCACATTTTCTATATGTGGGTCTTTGGTTAGATTATGTATAGGCAATTTAGTGTGTTATTTTTTGTGATATGGTAACTTGAGAGGACAAGCCGAGTCCGGAGATATGTTGGTAGGAAGATTGTAGGACAATGTTTAGGTAATTATCAAAAGATGCCAAAACAGGAAGACTAATGAGCACTGTCAGTGGCACAGAATAAGAATTCCTAGACATTCAGGACACCAATATAAGAGTAGAGAGATTTGCTAACCAATATGAAGACCAAAAAAGTTTGTCACGTGTAGTTTCATATGAAATTAAAGAAGTATTGTTAAATTGCACGAATCGCCACCTCATCTTGAAAGCAACATGCTACATTGCAGCTATTCTTTCATACTGTAGCTTGGGTTATAAATTCCTTGTTTTACCCCCCCCCCCCCCCCCCCTGGCCTCCAACTGATCTTCATTTATTTAAAAGTATTAGTCTTTGGATTTTACGAGTCAAGATAAATAAAAGGAAAATGGCCTAATAAGCTAGAAATCACTCATTGTTGGGATGGCTGTTGTGAATTGAATATCACTGGTAGGGCTACACCGAGGCTTAAAATGTCCCGAAACCAAAAACCTCAGCAACGTTAGAAATCGTAATTTTAGATAGTTATCTGTTGCAAACCGATTTCTTTATTGTAGTTCAATGGTCTTTAGGTTAGCTATGCACAGCTCAGGAAAGACTAATTGTGATCTTCTAAATAAAAGTATGCTGTACCTAAAAAATGTACGATATGAACATTCCTCTTAACTAAATCACATTATAAGGTGACATGGTTAATACTATCTACAAAGCTTGTGGTAGTTCCCAAAAATTATAACCCGATGTTCTGGGCACTATAAATTACTGTAATATTTCTCTGCACTTGCCAAATTGCATAATCTGTATCATAATCTATACGAACATTCCTAACATCCATTTGTTAACATAACATGCGAATCCTGTATATCACTTCCATATACTGGAATGAAGTGTACAATAGAATAGCAAATTTTCTCCCCGTTCAAGATTAAGAGTTACTCAACACTGCATTTTGTCTATATAAAACACACATTTTCAGCTCACCTTGTACAATGTACCGATTTTCATAATAGGGAGTTTAGCTATTCCATCGTTCCTTCGCATTGTCTGTCCCTCACTACATTCATCTGGAAATCCATCTGCATTGACATCCCTCACATGTTTTTCTGCCTTCTTATTGGAATCCTGAATGATCTCTTGGGCATGTTGAATATTCTGTATAAAAAAAAAGCTTTTTAGTCATCTTTAGTCTAAGATGTCTAAGAACTTTAGTCTAAGTTCTTTTTTTGATAACTCATCAGATGTTTCCTCCATAATATCTAGATTTTGTTAATAAGAATGAAGTTCTTTTTGGTTAAAACTGTTTACAAGACTTTAAATGTCACACAGAGGCAAAGTCAGTTACTATATGAAAATATTAAATATGGTTTATTCAACAAATGACTCACCAGGTTGAACCTCAACAGTGGGCATCCTTTGACAGCTCCACTAGTTTTAAGATGTTATACAGTGTGTCATTCCGTTGTTCTAGCAGTGTCCCCCACTTTGGGCACAGCTGGCTCGTGTCCTGATGTATTTTCTCAATAGTTTATAGGTAGCAGGCGACGAAAGACTGGTCCTCATCGGTACAAAATGCCACTGTTTAGGAAGATGAAAAGACACATGGCATCAGATCTTCTAACTATTATTGAAATTAAGAAGGGAAAAATATAACAAGTTAATGAAAATGAAACTACAATGGGAAAAACGTGTGTCCTATTTAAAAATCTGATGGCTTGTACAGAGTGGGATAGTGTAGTCTAAATGGTTTGCAAGTAATGAAGTATGGTGGTGGGACTATAAACATACCAGACAATTCTTTCTCACATCACCTCTGCCCCTGATAAATATAAAAAACATGATGCACATGAAATCAGATGCATATGTAATGCATCTGATTTTCTATTTAGAAACCAGACAATGTTTTTGTTTTATAATATGGGTAATGAAAAATTATCCTTTGGCAGTCTAGAGAAAACTGTCAATGGTTTGTGCAGTATGACTACAATATGCAATACTGTTGTGTATGTACAGCAGTAGGAGCCAGGTCATTGTACTGCAGTGGAGCACAGTGGCTGTTGAAAAAAATATGACCAACTTTTGAGATTAAAGCAGTTTCAATATTAGAGATTGGAAGAGGAATTTAATGATATTGTATACCATAGTGGTTTTTATAATGATAGCGATGTTTGAAGAGTTATTTGCAGAATTGATAAGGGTTCTAAGATAAAATTCGCAAAATTATAGGCTCATTAAAGCTTCAGGTTGGATACTTTATTCCACCCAGAGAAAATCTAGTGCCAGCAATGGTTAAATACCTGCCCAGTCTTTATCACTCGAGCCAAAAAGGTTCAGTTTACTATGTTGTTGTTTAATATTCGCTACCTGGAACAAAAAGTTCCTAGTAGCATGGGCTATGGTGAGCCCGTAGTGGATTTCTTTCAGTTTGCAAGCTCTTGAGCTGATTATGTGGTGCTTATTGCTCTTACCTATATTTTGTCAGGAATACTAAAAGATTTACAAAGTCTGTATTACCTCTAAATATTACTAATGTTATGGGCTAATTTGGTACAGCATTGACAGTGGTCCACAGTTTGCCTTCATTGTTTGACAGTCGGATGTGTGACTGTTGTGGAGTTAGCAATTGGCAAATTGAGCACAAAAATTATTTTGTTTATGAATAAAATGTAACTACTGTATTACAGTTTTCACTCTACATCCTGAGGATATTTAGTGTGAGAAGTCATTGCTTAATTTCAAGGACCACTCTCCTCCAACCCACCCATACCCATAGTGAGGGAGGAACTGAGAAGGAAATATATGCAAAGCTAAACGAACAGTTCAAAAGTGTGCATGCTGTAGGATGAAACTTTCAGCACACACTTGCCACAATATCGATTTTTAAACTGAAAATATTTAGAAGTTTCTTAAGTAAAAAAAACTGCTCAGGAAACTAGACATTTATCAGTCTGACCAAATGGAGTCTCACCTTGGATACTAAAAGAATGATTAAGAGATTATGCTCCACTACAGATTATCTTCCATTCATCCTTTACAAACAGGCAACCTAGACAACATATGTAAAAAGGCAAATAGTTTAAATCTTCATGACAAAAAGGTCAGTACTTTCCAGTCATAAGAAAGTACCGAGAAGACAGAGGACACCATAAGCATAGCTTTCATCTTGTAACAGCGTTTGGGTAATTACACACACTATATATAGCTGGGATACTGTATCCGACATGGCTCTGATGACACCTGCTACATCTTCACTACACATTCTTCACCACTGTAACACTGGTCCAAGCACCGAGACCATCTTCAGAAAGACTTGTGTGCCTTGGAGGAAGTAAAGCACAACCAAATTTCTCACAACAAAATGGACTCATACCAAACCAAACATGCGAGGACTGCTCCCCACAAAACTTTTAAAATACCTGTACTGAACAATTTAGGACATTTTCCCAGACCACTTCCTTAATAAAAGATTAAACAACACATACAAGGGGCAACAGCTTCAAACTCAACTAGCCACAATGTAGGACTGAAAACGGAAAATGCCGCTTCAAGATTGATTGATGAAGATTAAGCCACCCAAAAGGTGGCACGGGCATGAATAGCCCGTAAGTGGTGGCCCTTTTTGAGCCATTACCAGTATCAGTAGATGATACTGGAGATCTGTGGAGGTGCAACTGTACCCTGCGTGACGGGAGATGTCTCCCGTGGCCGCTTCAACCATACGGTCACCGTATAAACCCATGGAACCGCCTACCCGCCGAAGCCGTAAATGCCAAGACATTACTGCAGCTCAAAATACAACTAGATAAAATGAGGGAACTCTCTCCAGTTGTCTCGTCCACGCCACTAGAGATTATGGCCCTCATGTAAATACTGTACAGACTTTCGGTTATGTAATGGGCAGTTCAATATCCACAAAGTCTTAATATGTGGAAATAAAAATATAAATATATACATATGCCTCGCATTCAGAATAACGATATCAAATCTATAGTTTATAGGACAAACTTCTGCTTAGTAAATCAATTACATTGTATTAATTGAACTATTCGAACACACGTATTGTAATTAGCGATTCTATTGATGGATTCAAACAGCAATCCAGTATACTCGTCCACACAAACTACTATTCAGCTGATGTTGGGTTTAATGCATATCAACCAGTGGCGGATCACCAGGGCCGGGACATTATAGCCTACAACCAACCAGCAAGAACAATATAAGACTCAACATGCTCAAAACTAAACGCCATAGATGCACATAAATCGATAAGCAGGGTATATATACATTTATATATAGATCATATATAGTGTATATAGCTATAGCCTCGTACCAGGCTTTCATAAACGTTTTAATTTCTGTATGTGTTCGGGGTGGGGGAAAGAAGGAGGGTTTGGCACTCGCCTAATCACGACCATAGTTCAGCTGAACACTCCTCACCAGTTGTTGTTCAAGGTGTTCCCTCAGTGATGCAGCAGAGACACCGACCATGCCAGTATGCTAGGCTGGTGGCCACTGGGACCCAGCGAGGACCAGCAGCTCTCTGGTGTACGGCTTGAGCAGAAATGTCACAGAACAACCAGGGAGCCAATTTGTCAAATTTCTTAACAAAAGGGGCTGCCATATGCGTAATTTCTTGTTTATCATTAGCACACAATTTGATTAGAGTCTCCATCTCCTAACACCTTTCCCTGCTTGATGTAATCATACACAGCACCGAGTAATTCCACGTACTGGTTGACTACAGACAATGATTCCATCACGGTCGTTTGGTGCAGCGGTTGGCCTCATAATTGCTTAATAACACACAAGTAAGAATATTTTAGACCTGCACATAGTCCAGGACAAAAGTGAACTCTCATTGTACATTCACCGAGAAGAGAATATACTCTTGTGTATATATATATATATATATATATATATATATATATATATATATATATATATATATATATATATATATATATATACACACACATATATATATATATATATACACACACACACATATATATATATATATATATACACACACACACATATATATATATATATATATCCTTTGCTGACACGGTCGCCACGGCAGCTACTCAAGCTATGATCATTCAACCAGCGGCCGACCTCAGAAGCATTCATGGATTTTAGCATATTGTGTATTAAAAAAACTATATTTCCTCGATTATAAATTAATGTTTATGTATGCAGGCGATGAGTCACAATAACGTGGCTGAAGTATGTTGACCAGACCACACACTAGAAATTGAAGGGACGACGACGTTTCGGTCCGTCCTGGACCATTCTCAAGTCGATTGAGACTTGAGAATGGTCCAGGACGGACCGAAACGTCGTCGTCCCTTCAATTTCTAGTGTGTGGTCTGGTCAACAATGTTTATGTATGTTAAAACTTTGTGTGAAGTTAGGTCTAAGACATAGATCAGGTGTTTGGTTCTGTTAGTAATTATTTGTAATTGTAGTCAACCCGTCCTCGACTCCAGTTCATTACATCCAGGGTCGACCCCCCACAGACGCATTCATAAATTTGTACATGCTACTCATTCAAAACGAGAATTTTCTCAAATATAAACTAATATTATAATGTATTAGCATATTGTGCATATATAGGCATAGGTTAGGTTAGGTGGTTAGGTTCTGCTGGCGATTATTTGTATTTGTGGTACGTGGGTGAAGCATTTACAGCGTTGTGGTTCGAATAAAAGTAGTCAGTGAAGCACTTGTTCCGGAAGTGTTCGAACGAAATCAGTTGTGAGTCATGTGTAACAGCCCGTCCTCCAAACAAAGATCCAAAAGTGATTCCATGCACCCGCCAAACCCCTTGTTTATGAATGAAAAGCGGTTTACACACGACTCACAACTGCTGACGTTCGAACATATCCGGAACAAGTGCTTCACTGACGAATTTTGTTCGAATCACAACGCTATAAATGCTTCACCCACGTACTACAAATACAAATAATCGCCAACAGAACCTAAACACCTAACCTAACCTATCCTATGCCTATATATACACAATATGCTAATATATTATAATATTAATTTATACTTGAGAAATTTCCCGTTTTGAATGAACAGCATGTTAAAATTTATGAATGCGTCTGTGGGGTTGACCGCTGGATGTAATGGACTTGAGTCGAGAACGGGTAGAGTGTAAACCGTTTTTCATTCATAAACAGTGGGTTTGACGGGTGCATGGATTCACTTTTGGGTCTTAGGAGGACGGGCTGAAGCATATGGTCCTTTAAAGGCGTCATAATGGACTTCCTCGAAGGCTCCAAAGTTATCAATAATTGCAACTGAATTTTTCTTGAAGTTTTACCTGAGGTGACAACGTTTCTTTAGTGACCTTGACGAGGGCTGGAAGTCAACGGCTTGTCAAATGTCCCTGTTTTCATGATGATTTTTTTTTGTGTTGGGTATTGAACTGTCATTGTCTTGTGTCATTGAGTCTTTGGGCCTTTTTCTTGATCAATCTGCGGTAAGGTGATGTTGTTCAGTGAATAGTTGTGTTTATTTTATCAGCTAGACCAACAAATGTTTATCCACAGAAAAATGATGAAAATATATACCGGGTAGTCCCCGTTATAATATATAGGATCCAAAGAAAACGATGGACATTTAGAATAATGCAATCATAATTTTATATAAATGTAAGTGCTTTAAAAATATTAGCGATACATTAATCACACATTTTGATTAAAGTAACATTTATAAAAACTTGTAAACAGATCTGAATGACAAATTTCCATTACTGACACTGGTTCATAGGAGTAAATTGACCGGCTTCTGGTGCGTCATCAGGCCTTCCGTATAAGAGCCTCAGTCCGGGTCAACAGGTACTCTAGAGCCCCTTGGACACCTTCTTGCAGGTCACCATACACTCAAGGACCACTCGAACGCCTCATTAATGTTGCATGTCACCAGGTCATCAGAGCCACGCTGATGCCTCCTCGCGGGTCACCAATCCTGCCTGCACCAGCTTCCTCACCAGGTCCTTCGTCGCCTCGATTTCCGCAGTGGTTGGGTTCAAGTAGCCTTGAGCTGTGACGCCGATAGCAGCAGATTTAAAAGTCAGAAAATGTAGCGTATAAGTAAAATATGTGAAATCTAAATACGTTTTAATCTTAAAAGAGCGCTTTTATATAAAACAAATTTTATTTACATACATTCCTGCTACACATAAAAAGTCTTTATTAAAATGTTTCTAATGCGGCAGTTTTTCAAGGCTAGACTGCCAAGGTTTATATAAAAAAGCACAAATTTCGAATTAGATCAAATACTTTTATATATATGGTATATTTCTATTGTTGAAGACCTAGAACGTGGTCTCCCCTAAGCAAATTATACTGACCTACCCCAGGATGCAATCCCACGGTACCTATTTCCGTGTATGTGGCACGGTACCTATTTCCTGCTAGGTGAAGTAAAGATGGAAGTAAACATGCTGAATCATTTCTAACCCGCCCGGGGATCAAACCCAGGACCTTCAGTTGAGAGTCGAGGAGGCAGATCACTATACCCCAGTACAATACTCAAACTTGGCATGCAGCCATTAACATTACAAGCGGCATCTAAAGTTGTTAATTGATACCTAAGCTAGTATAACCGGCTTAGTATAACTAGTTATATTACGTGACGCTTCTAGCGAGTCAAAGTGGTATGGTAGAGAGAACTGACGTCACTTGCACATGAGCTAGCATAACTTCACGACAAATTGCCAAGCAAAATGGCCGCTTGGCTGGATGCCATATGCTCAGGGATTGAACGACCGGCTGATGGATGATCATCCATTATAAAGCCAATATCAAAGCGTAAAGGTGGAAGCCTCTTGGGAAGTCAAATATCAAAGTCTGGAGGAGACATTTTAAAGTGTGGGAAAACGGAAGCCTCCTGCAGTGGTCGGTGCAGGAGGAGGCTGAGCCGCTACCACAATACTCATATTGTTAACCGTGATAAACCTTTAATGTATTTACCAGAACACTATATTGTTGAATGTGAAACCGTAAAAGATATTAGACCTTTGCCTATTGTACCACCAACTGTGTAACTATTTCATCGACTCTGGTGTACTGAACGACATCCTAACAATTTATCCAAAATTTGCTTGTCCATTTTAAAGAATGAAGAAAAATTTTACTTATATTATTATTTTCAAGCTGCATCTCTTATTAACCCATCCCTGCCCTTATGTGGCAGTGCACCGTAGAAAGTTGCATTTACATATTCGTACATTGAAACATTGATTGTAACCATATATGTGCTTCAGCCTACAGTTTAGACCTATTGTGTATGACCCTCTGTCCTGTGTGACAGTGAATACCAGCATTATCCTCATTTTAATAAGACTTAAATTAATTAAAATTTTGCCTAATCTGAGAATTTCAATTTTGTCAATAAATATATTAATAATAACAGAAGCGAGGGGAGACTTGCGAAATTTCAAGTACCTTTTCCCACGGCGGTGGTCCAGCCCGGGCAGGAGGTGGTGGCGCGGTAGTTAAGCTCCCATCTATGGAAGTATGGGCGTCTGCTGTAGTTACAATAGTGCCTCAGAAGTTCTATCTCCCCTTCTCGGTACAACCGACTTGGTACAGCACGTCACAGATCGTCAGGAGAACGAAAGAAATTGGGACAAGAACAGGTGAATATAATTTCTCTTTGAAATGTGTACATGACAAATATATTATAACCTGCCTAGACCTCTGCAAGATGAGAAGAGAAATAGAATGGTGGCTATTATTGTTGAGGTGAGGCTGTGGAGTGTTGCATCTGTCGACTGGAGATGACAGTACTGTATCTCTGTATATAACAGAGATGATGAACTTCTGATGTTAAGATCATGAATTGTTCGAGAGACGAGGAACTCTTACGTTATACAATGCGTCGCATACATCAAACGTGCCATCAACGCACTATAAGTCCGGCCAGATTCACGAAGCAGTTACTCAAGCACTTACGAACGTATACATCTTTCCTCAATCTTTGACGGCTTTGGTTACATTTGTTAAACAGTTTACGAGCATGAAAACTTCCCATTCAACTGTTGTTATTGTTATAAACAGCCTCCTGGTGCTTCGGGGCTCATTACCTGTTTAATAATTGGAAACAAAGCCGCCAAAGATTGAGAAAAGATGTACAGGTTCGTAAGTATTTGCGCAAGTGCTTTCGTAAATCTGACCCCGGATATTGCCTGATTAACAACTGCTACTCACGTGATGACGTTGTCAGCGACGGTGGAGATGATCTGGGAGAAGTCGAAGGGCTTGGCTTGTGCTGGGGAGGATGTGAGCAGCAGCACCAAGGCCCCAGACACCAGCAACAGGCCCCAACACCTTCCTGACGGCGCTGCTGACATGCTGACGCAGGAGGCTGTGCTGTGTAGGAGAACGATGATTTGGGATAAAATGAGTATTTTACAGAAGTATTTGTTTACAAAGATGTTGGAGAAGAGAAGACTTATTTATTTCCTACCAGACTAGGCTATTCAGCCACAATGCTAGACATCACATACATTTTCCTGTCCTCCGTGGACAGGGTTAGAGATCTGTTAACAAATACATAAAATATTACAGGTTATTGAGAACTTACCCACATAATTATGAGTGAATTATTATTATTATAATAAATTAGTGCGTGGTACATCTGTTGCGACACTTGGCAAGATAGGTGTCACTTTAGAATTGTCAGTGAAAATGTATTTGGACTTACGTCACTGGTAATATATATATTTTTTAATATGCAGGAAATATATTACCTTAGGGCGTGTGGGCGTGGGCAAGATAGAGACAGCGTAGCTGTGTACCCCACGAAGGACAGGGCGCTACTGTCTGGTCAGTCGCCTTGCTAACAGTTTATAAGTCTGGTGGACGAGGGATAACGACCGAATTGCAATGACTGGACGGTCGAGAGTCGGGTTGAATATTGCTTGACTATCGCCCTCCTAGAGAGTCCCGCCACACAAGCCAGTATAAAAAATTACCATTTTTAACGAAACGTTCAGTACTGTTACCATCTGAACGCTTAAGAGCGAAATTATATGAGGTTTCTGGAACATTGTGAGCACTATGTGCGTGGTTGAGTATTTATACTCACCTACATGTACTCATCTAGTTGTGCTTGAGGGGGTTGAGTTCTGCCCGTAGCAGCTGTCTTACTCTCAAGTACCTATTTACTGCTAGGTGAACAGGAGCATCAGGGGTGAAAGAAACTGCCTATTTGTTTCCGCCTTCGCCGGGGATCTAACCCAGACCCTTAGGACTACGACCCCAGAGCGCTGTCCACTCAGCCGCGGTGTGTGTATGTTGACCAGACTACACACTAGAAGGTGAAGGGACGACGACGTTTCGGTCCGTCCTGGACCATTCTCAAGTCTGTGTGTATGTGTGTGAGAGATATCAGACTTCCCTTAATTCCTTCCCCAACCCGACACCCACCCTGGCATCTCCGGCATCATTTGAGTGTTAAGATCACCATGACACTGGCACTGATGCGTCACACCAGTGCGCACTGGCACTCAGTGGCACTGGCGCACCAGTGTCTCCACACAAGGATGCCGGCAGTATATATATATGTAACAATAAAATACATCTCAAAGGGATAGAGTAGGTTAAGCTATTTCTACCCCCACCTTAACGCCACGTTCGCGTTTGTTTGTGAAGAGAAAGAGAGAGCGAGAGATAAAAATAAAGAGAGAGAATAGAGAAAGCAAACAAATGTGTTATTTAAATTGTAGCGGGAGTTTATTACCCAACACGAACAAACAAGCTGGCTTTTCCAACCATTGCATAAGAGGCCATCAACTTGGGGAAGTCCGCACATTGATTAATAAATAATTGTCATAGGTTTTTTTCCAGACGACGCGGAAATGTTACACTGTACTTGGACTTCGTAACACCACACACTAGGTTACTATCCACCACCACCCCCGTCGCCACCACAGTCATCTCCGCCACTATCACTCGCCTCACCGACACCATACAACCACAATTATGGGAAAACTCGTACCCAGTACAATTGATCAACAATTAGAATGCGCCAAAAGAAGAAACTGTGGAAGCCACCTCCATCCACAACTTTAAGGCCAGACTCAACAAAGAAATCAAACGTTAGGAAAATTAGATTTTAACACAACTGGTAAAACAGGATTAGTAGGCGGGGCATGAAGAGCTAGACCTCACTCCCCCTGTGGACCATGATAGCTAAGTACTGATAGGTATGCTCGCCCGAGCCCCAAAGACGTCTTCAACAGTTTCAAATTCGCCGTAAAGGTCACAGGATAAACAAACCAACAATCAGGGTTATGAAAAGGTTAAGTTTGGTTCCCTTTTCTACATGAAAGGTCAGGGTAGAGAAGGTGCTACAGCTGTTTCTTTGATTTGTGTTTGGCCCTGCCCACTTGTAGAGGCTGCTTCTTGCATGAAGCCCATAGCAAACATAAGACTCGTCAAGCACCTTAAGTCTCCACTTGCGAAACCTATACATCTTTCCTCAATCATGGCTACTTAATGGTCTATATTTATTAAAAGGCTTACAAGCTCGGAAACCTTATGAGGTGGTCCTCGACCCAAGGTTATTATTGTTATAAACAACCTATTAGCTCTTCGGAACTCATAATCTGTTTAATAAATGGAGGGCAGATGTACAGGTTTCGTAAATAGGGAATTCCTAGATGAATCCTGACCTCAGGTCTCCAAATATAAATGTTTGAAACCACCTCTGTGGAGACCTGCCAGTCAATAAAAGTTATCTGTTAATTAATTAATTAGTTAATCAGGTCTGACGGTCGAAGTTCGCTCTGTTGTGTCCTCGTGTGGACATAGGATAGCTGTTCCTACCATGGGATAGCCGATCCTACCATGGGATAGCTAATCCTACCATGGCATAGCCGATCCTTCTATTGGATAGCTAAACCTACCACGGGATAGCTGATCTTACCATGGGATAGCTAATCCTACCATAGGATAGCAGAACCTGCTATGAGAACTGATCCTGTGGTGTAATTTTGAACCCCCTCGCTTTGCATGAGAAAACATTTAAGTTCGCACCATAGACGAAGTGGCACAATTTGCATGAATACCACTCCTAAATGATTAGTAAATCGCTGTAAGCATCCCTGTGTACTCAGCAGTAACTGGGGACTTTGATGTATATTTAATCAAGTGACTAGGATCGTGTTCTGGGGAAACAACGATGCAGGAGTAAGACTTTTGAAAAGGCGAAGGCAAAGGGAATAAGACTTTAAGGTTCAATGTTAGCCTCAAGACCTACACTAGGCTCGGGGGCTTTGAAGGACATCAATGATCTTGTACCTATTCAGCCCTACCTATTGTCCAGTCTCGGAGTGGCTTAATTAGCTTCGTTACCAGATGTAAAGAATAAAGTGCATATATATACAGCACTGTGTATATATGCACTGGGGAGAACTTGGCCAGATACGAAGCCTTCGGCTTCCTGTTATGTTGAAGCTGCTAAAGAGAGTTCCGAGTTCCCGTCATGTAGTCAATTAGGTTAACTACCACTGAACCTGGATAGTAACTGGCTTGGTAACCGCGAGAACAGCTTTTTCCTGGAATTGGGGGCATTCTCGAAAAGCCTAGTAATCTTTCTGTTCTCGAGAATGAAATTAAATCATCAATAATTGGTTAAGCTGAATAGATTAAATTTAGTTTCTCCTAAAAAATAACATTTTCTACAATGATACCACAACAGAAAACCTAAATATTTTGGGCATTCTATAATATATCACCACTGACCTGCATAGTAATGTTTTTTTACCTGAATTTACCTGAGAACTACTAACACTAGTGGCCTCGACGAGGTGAGGAAGCTGGCGGTTTGTCAAGAATTCCCCCCATTTGCCTTGATATAAATTGCCTTGATTTTCACTTTAAATACTCACAATAAAGAAAAAAGGGTTTTATTATACAATTGGCAAGTAAGTTGGTGAATTGTGATATTTCCATTCAATCTTCTCCAACGAGAGTTTTTCCAAATGTGCCTTCATCAATATACATTTTCTTATCTCGACGGCTTAGGCCAGTTGGGTGTTCATTCACAGTCTGCGTATGGAGTCTGTCTGCCTCCATTCCACAGTCTGTGTATGGAGTCTGCCTCCACCCCCACAGTCTGTGTATGGAGTCTGTCTCCACCCCCACAGTCTGCGTATGGAATCTGCCTCCACCCCCACAGTCTGTGTATGGAATCTGCCTCCACCCCCACAGTCTGCGTATGGAATCTGCCTCCACCCCCACAGACTGCGTATGGAGTCTGCCTCCACCCCCACAGTCTGCGTATGGAATCTGCCTCCACCCCCACAGTCTGTGTATGGAGTCTGCCTCCACCCCCACAGTCTGCGTATGGAGTCTGCCTCCACCCCCACAGTCTGCGTATGGAGTCTGCCTCCACCCCACAGTCTGCGTATGGAATCTGCCTCCACTCCACAGTCTGCGTATGGAGTCTACCTCCACTCCACAGTCTGCGTATGGAGTCTGCCTCCACCCCCACAGTCTGCATATGGAGTCTGCCTCCACCCCCACAGTCTGCATATGGAGTCTGCCTCCACCCCCACAGTCTGCATATGGAGTCTGCCTCCATCACTCCACCGTTCGCCCTACAGAAACCTCACTTAACATTTAACAAACAAGTTAAGCGCACGACGTTAATATTATGCGAGCTAAAAGCCTGTCGCATCCCAGAGTGCAGGCCGGCGCGCACGGCGTAAGACCACTTTAGCTCTGATGACTTGTTTAAACACTGTGTTGTGATGTTTTACTTGTGTTTACTAGTTGTGTTTTTGCGGGGGTTGAGCTTTGCTCTTTCGGCCCGCCTCTCAACTGTCAATCAACTGTTTACTAACTACTTTTTTTTTTCCCCCACACCACACACACACACACACCCCAGGAAGCAGCCCGTGACAGCTGACTAACTCCCAGGTACCTATTTACTGCTAGGTAACAGGGGCACTTAGGGTGAAAGAAACTTTGCCCATTTGTTTCTGCCTCGTGCGGGAATCGAACCCGCGCCACAGAATTACGAGTCCTGCGCGCTATCCACCAGGCTACGAGGCCCCAAGGCCTTGTGTGTGTGTGTGTGTGTGTGTGTGTGTGTGTGTGTGTGTGTGTGTGTGTGTGTGTGTGTGTGTGTGTGTGTGTGTGTTTAGATATGCTTCTCCAGCTTGCCACATGATGTTGATGTGACAACATGAGACACACACACATAGAGCATAACATCAGGGGAGTCTTCAGGACCTCTGACATGGGTGCGCTACCAGCAAGCTGTGTACGGGAAACATCAGACCAGTGCTGGAGAATGCAGCGCTCAACATAAAACCCAAACTACAGGAAGTACAGAATGATGATTGGGAAATTACAGAGGCCTACTACAAGGAACAGTCTTGTGGCAATACATGAACTGGAAGAGCAATGAGAACAGATTAAACGACCTATTCTTAAGAAGAGTTGAATGAGAGAAGGAGACATGATCCAGATATATAAAATTCTCAAGAGTATTGGTAAGACAGTTTAGATTGACAGCTGAGTAGCAAGAGGACATATCAGGAGGCTACGAGGTTATCTTAGACTACGAGGTCACCTGAGGCTACGAGGTCACCTGAGGCTACGAGGTCACCTGAGGCCTGTTCTAAATTACCATCAACTCACCATGGAATTACGAGCTCGTAAAGTCCACTTAGCAAATGTCAATTCTTAACGACCAGATGGTTAAGAGCAATTGAGAGCGTGTTAACTACCGCCTCCTGGTAATTTTCCAAGCATAAAGGCCGTCAGGTAGGTATTTTGACCTCATAGGTAATTAAGGCCGCGACCGGCTCCATTCCTACGCGTAAAGGTCTAATTATTGTCTTGAATGTATAATGAAGGGTGTATAATACACTTTCGTGAGACCAAGTTGAAGTAGAGGGGGGCTAGTTCAGTAGTTAACGTTAACAACAACCACCAACCACCATTCCTGAGACAGCCTCCACCAACCACCATTCCTGAGACAGACTCCACCAACCACCATTCCTGAGACAGACTCCACCAACCACCACTCCTGAGACAGCCTCCACCAACCACCATTCCTGAGACAGCCTCCACCAACCACCATTCCTGAGACAGCCTCCACCAACCACCATTCCTGAGACAGCCTCCACCAACCACCATTCCTGAGACAGCCTCCACCAACCACCATTCCTGAGACAGCCTCCACCAACCACCATTCCTGAGACAGCCTCCACCAACCACCATTCCTGAGACAGCCTCCACCAACCACCACTCCTGAGACAGCCTCCACCAACCACCATTCCTGAGACAGCCTGCACCAACCACCATTCCTGAGACAGCCTGCACCAACCACCATTCCTGAGACAGCCTCCA